CTATCTATCTATCTATCTATCTATCTATCTATCTATCTATCTATCTACTGTCTATCTGTCTGTCTATCTATCTACTGTCTATCTGTCTGTCTATCTATCTATCTATCTATCTATCTATCTATCTATCTATCTATCTATCTTCCATCTATCATCCATCCATCCATATCTATCTATATCAATCTGTCTATCTTTCTATCATCCATCAATCCATCCATATCTATCAATCCATCCATCTATCTATCTGTCTGTCTGTCTGTCTGTCTGTCTGTCTGTCTGTCTATCCATCCATCCATCCATCCATCCATCATCCATCCATCTGTATCTATCTATATCAATCTATCAATCTATCTATCTTTCTATCATCCATCCATCCATCCATCCATCCATCCATCCGGCTGCCCACTCACCCTCAGTCTCTGGGCAGCTTACAAAATAAATACTAACTAAAACCCCAATACACAACAATAAAAATAATCATCCCTCACCCACCAATCCCTCTGGCAAAAGCCATTTGATGGGCTCCATTCCACTCTGGGTTCCCCAGGCTCCTTGGCAAAACCTGGGGCCTCGCGAAAGGGTGTCAAAGTTGGGGCGCATGTAATACCTGCGGGAATGATGTTCCAAAGGGAGGGAGCCACCATGGAGAAGGCCCTTCTTCTGGGTCCTGCCAAATGTACCTTCTTAAAAAAAGGGGAACCTTGAAATAATCCCTGCCTCTCTGTTCTGGTAGGTTGGGTGGACTTAACTGGGGAAAAGATGTTCCTTCAGATCTAACCTTGCCCCAAACCACGTAGCAGAATAACAGAGTTGGGAGGGGGACCTTGGAGGTCTTCTAGTCCAACCCCTGCCCAAGCAAGAAATCCTATACCAATTCAGACAAACGCTTGTCCAATCTCTTCTTAAAAACCTCCGGTGTTGAAGAACCCACAACTTCTGGAGGCAAGCAGTTCCACTGGTTTATTGTTCTGACTGTCAGGACATTTCTCCTTAGTTCTAGGTTGCTTCCCTCCTTGGTTAGTTTCCATCCGTTGCTTCTTGTCCTGCCCTCTGGTGCTTTGGAGAATAGTTTGACCCCCTCTTCTTTGTGGCAGCCCCTCAAATACTGGAACACGGCTATCATGTCACCCACTGGTCCTTCTTTCATTCTAAACATTCCCAATTCCTGCCACCGTTCTTCATATATATATTTTAGCCTCTGGTCCCCTAGTCATCTTTGTTGCTCTTCTTTGCACTCTTTCCAGAGTCTCAACATCTGTTTTCTATTGTGGCGACCAAAAAGAGGCGCAATATTCCAGTCTTACCGGGCATTATAAATTGATATTAACACTTCATGTGATCTTAATTCTATCTCTCTGTTAATGCAGCCGTGTAGGGTTTTAAAGGTGACAACTAACATCTTGGATTGGGACCTGGAAGCCAACTGACAACTAATGCAGCCCCCTGCAGGTAAGGTAACACATATGCAAACTTGGGCCTGCACAAAAAAACATGTGGGCTGCAGCATTCTGGACCAATTGTAACCTCCGGATACTTTTCAAGGGCAGCCCCATGTAGCGTGCATTGCAATAGTCAAGGCAGGCGGTAATTAGGGTGTTAAAGGAATGTTAAAAGCTGTTCCCACTAAAACATTCCTCTTTAAACTTGCATTTTCCTGATGAATTTTAGGAATTCAATATCCCAGAGTCCCAATTATATCTGGAGAGGCTTGGTTGGGGAAGGCTCCGCTAACCCCTTGTGATAAAAGCCAGCACAATTTTATCCCCACATCATCATTTCTCCTTTTCCTTTTTAATATACCACGCTACCTGACTGATTGCCTGGCAAGGATTAATGGTGCCTGTCCAACTTTAATAAAAAAAAAACTACGATCCAAATATATTGCTGGTGTTCCTGGTGGCAGGCATGGCTTTTTTTTCCTTTTCTTTTGGTTCTTCCTCGTGAGCACAGAGTTGCTGATCTTGCTGGATTTGGGGTAAGACCTGCCAGGATTGTGACGGGCAGGTGGCTCACAAAACGAGGTGGCAACCTTTGCTCTTGGGAACAAATCCACAGGACAACTGATACCCCTATAGTGGTGTAAGTATAATAGGTGACATAGTGTAATAAGATTGGGACTGGATTAGGGACTTCTGTCCTCACTGTGAGTTGTGTTGGGGTTGCACCAAGGGAGGCTCAGCCAATCTCATTGTACACATGTTGTATTCTGACAATAAAGGTAATAATAATAATAATAATAATATTTTTCTCAGGCTCTCAAACAATTAAGCAATGTGATGTCTGTCCCAAAGAGCCTTTTTTTTTTTTCAAAAGGCAACTAGGTTTCCTTGTTTTTCTTTGAAGATGTTTCGCTTCTCATCCAAGAAGCTTCTTCAGCTCCGATTGGATTGGTGGGGAATGAGTCAATCGGAGCTTCTTGGATGAGAAGTGAAACGTCTTCAAAGAAAAACCAGAAAGTCCAGTTGCCTCTTGAAAAAGCCCCTTTGGGACCCCCGTGACTGGAGGACTGAGAATCTCCAGAGACTTCATAACCAGCTGTTTAGTGACTGTTCAAAGCCATAACTCCCCAGAGTTATTTACAACTCGTTTTTGTTTTGACGGATGCAACCTTCCACCTTACCCCAGGGCTCACATCATCCCACAGCGAATGTGACAGTTGCCAAACACCCCAAAATACGATTATGATCACAATTTTTAGCATTTTTCTTTTGCTGGCTTCTGGTGTTTATCCCAAAGGTGCTCCCCCCGACTTTTTTTTTTTCAGGACGCAACTGGACTTTCTAGTTTTTTCTTCTGAAGACGTTTTGCTTCTCATCCAAGAAGCTTCTTCAGCTCTGACTGGATTAGTGGGGAATGGAAGGATCCAGTCAGAGCTGAAGAAGGTTCTTGGATGAGAAGCAAAACGTCTTCAGAGCAAAAAAAAAAAAAAAACAGAAAGTCCAGTCGCCTCTTGAAAAAGCCCCTTTGGGACAAACCACGATCTGGAGGATTGAGAATCTCCATAGACAATGCGATGTCTGTTCGTTTGGAGGCATAAAAGACAGGTTTGAATTATGCAGGCAGCTATTCAGAGTCTCTATCTGAGTGTTACAGGAACTCTGGGCTTGTGAAGACTGAGTGAGAGGTCAGGATCCCATTAATTCTTTTTCACTGAAATGAATGGGAATTTACCGCCCTTCCCTTCTGTTCGTGCTCCCGTGGCGTTTCTGCAGGGATTTCAGAAGAGACGGGGAAAGCCAGACCTTTGGACCAAGGAAGCAGATGGAGAAAGACGGAGAAGCCGCAAGATTGCTAAGGTCTTAAGAGACCGAGGGAAGGATTAGCTTCACGTATTGGCACAAAGCAAGCGGCTAAACTTCTGTGCCTTTGCTTGAAGGGCAGAAGGATTTGTAACGCTTCTTTCTGGATTTGGGAGCTTGCTTGCTGCGCCTACAGATCCACCAGGGGGCGCAGGCGATAAACACAACAGGCAAACCCGCACCTGTGTGCCTGAAAACGATGTCCGACTTACAACCTTCGTTTAGTGTCTGTTGAAAAGTTACAACAGCACTGGAAAAAAGGAACTGAATGACCCGTTTTTCGCCTTGATGACCGTCCGTGGCCCAGCGATCAAAATTCGGTTGCTTGGCAACGGCCATGTATCTATGACAGTGGGGGTCATGGGATTGTTTGTAAACTTCCCAGCCGGCTTCCGACAAGACAAGCCAGTGGGGGAAAACCCAGATTCGCTTAACAACGGCAGCACTTCGCTTAGTGACACAGCAAAAAAGGTTGTAAAACGAGGCATGGTTCACTGAACGCCCGCCCTCACTTAGCAAACTTGTGGCTCCTTTCGGGTTGCAAGTTGAGGACTTTCCTGTATTATAGATCCAAGAAAGAGTCCAATTCATTCAATCCATAGATACATAATGTATTTTTTGGAGTATAAGACATGCTTCCCACCCCCCACCCCCACCCCAAAAAAGAGGGTGAAAATTTGGGTGCGTCTTATATACCGAATGTAGCTCCACCCACCCGCTGGCCCCCACTCTTTGGCCTCTGCCTCCCAGCAATTGGCTTCCTTGCAGCAAACAGCCTGTTTCGGCTTCAGCACAGCCTGATTAGCACAAACAGCTGATCGTCAGTTGGATCAGCCTCCCGGCGATCAGCTGTTTCAGACTGCAGGGATTGCTATCGCCTATTGCCACCTCTGTGCGCCCCATTTTCAGCCTCCGCATCCCATTTTCGGCCTCCGTGTGCCCCATTTTCCACCCATTCCGATCCTCGCTACCTGCATAGGGTGGGAAACGGAGTGCGCGGAGGCCCAAAACGGGGCGTAGGGAGGCTGAAAACGCAACGCAGCAGCCAAAAATGGGGCGCACAGAGGCAGCAATAGGCGATGGCAATCCCTGCAGCCTGAAACAGCTGATGGTTGGGAAGGCCGATCCAACTGACAATCAGCTGCTTGTGCTAATCAGGCTGTGTGAAACTGAAACAGGCTGTTTGCTGCAAGGAGGCAAATTTCTGGGAGGCAGAGGCAGATTGGTTTTTTTTTCTTGTTTTCCTTCCCCAAAGCTAGGTGGGTCTTATAGTTTGGAGCATCTCCTACTCCGAAAAATACAGTTACATATTTGTTTTTACCAGGGCTAAACTTGAGAACTCGGCTCTTTGGGTAATAATCAATTCCAGACTGAGCCGAGCCATCCCGGGTGCTGCAGCGAACTTTCGAGGTCCTGTTTTGATCTCCTGTCCGGATCACTTTGACATTTAAGAAGCCAACGCCTTCTGGCCCGGCGGGTTCACGGACCTGGTAACCGGCTTCTTCAAACTCGATGGTGGGAGCTGGAATGAGGGAGGAAACCAAAGAAAAAGAAACCTTGGTCAGGCTTCAGACGTCAAGAACATTTGAACTCAGGGATCTCCAACCCACAGGTCGTGGTGGGATTCAGAATTTTTTACTACCGGTTCTGTGGGCGTGGCTTGGTGGGCTATGACTTGGTGGGCATGGCAGGGGAAGGATACTGTAAAATCTCCATTCCCACCCCACTAACCTGCTTTCCAGCTCCATTCTCCTGTGCAGGGCAACCAAAGAAGACCCAGCCGATCAGCTGGGACTCAATGGGAGGCAGAGAATAGATGGGGTTGGCGGGGCCAGTCAGAGGTGGGATTTGCTGGTTTTCCAAACTACTCAAAATTTCCACTACTGGTTCTCCAGAACTGTCAGAACCTGTTGAATGCCACCTCTGCCCCATGGCCCGGTATTGGAGTAGGGAAATGTGGACAGCTCCTTTTGTGTGAAGGCAGGGACACACACATGCTGCTTGTCAAAAGGGAACTCTGCATGCTTGCGCACTCCACTGCTGTGTGCGCATCGCCTCTCTCCCTCCCGCCACTGGTCCACGAAGCCAGAAAGATTGGGCTCCACTGTTTTAACTCATCTTGCGCCCCAAGAAGACGGTGTGTGTCATAACTCAGATTTCTTTCTTTCTTTCTTTTTTTAGTGCCAATTATCAGTGCCAAGAAACGAAGCACTACCCTCAACGGTTGAGACTACTTGCTTCAGCAGAAACCTTTTAAAGACTCGTAGCTAAAATTTAACAGACTCTGCCAAGTAAGGAGAAGTTTATTGACTGATCCTTTTTCTGATTATTATTATTTTTTAAAAAAAATTGTACTCAAAGTGGCTCAAGGCCCAAGGTTATTGGAGATGTTTTTTAAAAAATAAAACAGTTCAGCACAGACATGACAAAGACATAACGCAGGTATGGAAAAAGTTAGCTAAGCGATTGTACAGAGTGACAAAGTTTCGGGATAGGAGGGGAAAAAAGTTGTTCTTTGTGTAATCTTAACAACAATCTATTCAGTTATGGAATTTGGATGAATGAATAAATGAATGAATCTGGAAGGGACCTTGGAGGTCTTCTAGTCCAGCCCCTTGTTTAATCAGGAGAACCTATATTATTTCAGATAAGTGACTGTCTAGACCACCGTAGCTCATAATAATCAACTGATTGTAATAAAACTCAGATAAATATGTGTTTGAACACCAGCCCATCCTTCCTTCTTACCATCTTCGTCGTTGGAAATGACTACAGTAGCCATATTGCTTTTCCCAACGGTAGCTCCACTCCAGTGGTTGCCTTGGGGTTCACTCAGATATACCCGGAATCTCTCTTCTGGTTCAAAAGCAGAGTCATCGTTTATAATAATAGTGCAGTTCTTTACCTAAAGTCGAGGATATCGCAGTAAGAATTGGGAGGCAATCTACACAATTCATCTATCTATCTATATAAAAGCGGAATACCACTCGTGCGTCATCACAAAATCTCCAGAACTGTACAGCTTACAAACTTGAAATTTGCCATGTATGTTCCTCTTGGCTTCTAGGTGCTTACTAAGAAAGGATTTTTTTGAAATGACCACCAGCGCACTAGTATTTTGGATATCATTATTAACACGCTCTGATGCTAAGGAGTTCTACTCCCCCTCCCCACCTGAAAAGAAATCTGTTCCAAATGCAAAACACAAGCAGAGGGGAGGAGTTTCAGTTTTAGTTTCACAGCACTAAGCTGCTTTAGTACAGAACAGTTGAGCTAAGCCATGCCCAGGTTCCTTGCTGTCTCCTTATTCACACAGCAAATACTATTTCAGTTTCCAAACAGCCCTCAACTCTCTCACACACGGACAGGACGCTAGCCAGATGTATACCAATGGATGCTGGTAGGCAGCGGCAGAATTTTTTCCCCTTATTTTCCTTCCTAAAAACTAAGCCTGAGCATACAGTTTCATAGTGAAGCATGGGTATCGAACTAGTTAATTTATAAAGCAAGACTTATATACAAGTAGTCCTCGAATTGCAACCACAATTGAGCCCAAAATTTATGCTGCTAAGTGAGAAATTTGTTGCGTGAGTTTTAGCTCTACCTGTTCTGACCTAGGCTTCCCCAACAGCACAAAGTCGACTCGTCGTCCCAATAAACTCCTTTTATTGAGTTTACACTGAATTCCTCTCCTGCAAAGTCCTGGCCAACAGTCTTTCAAGAGATTTCACAATTGCAGACCTTTATCAGGCTTGGAGAGTTGCCAGGCTGATATCTTTCAGACGCCACTCTAGCAAGAATGCAGGATCTTCACGTAAATGAAGTAATTGTCTCCTGAAAAACCCCACTCCCCTTTCGTTCCTCTTTATTCCCCTATGGGAGGGGCCATTCACCGCCCATCTGTGGCTTTACTCCCAAGTCGACCCTTGTTTCTTAGCTGTTCCCTTCTTCAGGCAGCTCTGTGCATGTGCACACTGGGAACAGGCTCCAGCTGTTCTTCTTCCTCCCTGATGTCCGACTGTGAAGGCAGCTGGTAACTGGCCCCATCTCTGCCTCTGATGCAGAGCACTCGTCAGAGCCTTCCCCAGACTCCAGGACCTGCCCATGTTCCTCCCCAACCTCCTCACTATCCAAATCTGCTTCCAGATCCGCTGGCGGGCCACAGCACTACCAATGTACATGACATAACCCTGCATACCTTCACAAATTGTGCCTCAGCCCCCAGGCCATCCATCTTAGACCAAGAAAATAAAATGTCTTTGAGTCATAGCCCACTTTCTGGCAGTCTTTCCATTTCAAGTTTTTCTTTGCCCAGGAAAAAAAAAAAAAGACACGTTTTCTTCACCGCAAGTCTGACCTGACAGATTGCAGCAGTTTTGAAACTGGGCCCAGGGCCTGAGTTGATGGCTCTCTCTCTCTCTCTCTCTCCATCATGTCAAGTCCTCAGTTCTCTGCCAGCTGTATTCACTCACCTTCTCCCCTTTCAAAAATGTGATGCGCGATTCTTCAGCGTTTCTCCTTTCCTCGAAATCCTCCATGACTCTTGCGGTCTGACTCTGTGTATGGCACCTGACTGAAGATTCGTAGCTTAAGTCTCCAGTACGGATAACAGGAACATGGAGGGCGTGGTCCTTCTCTTTCACAGAGTAGACATCTTTACTGAACTTCATGTTTGGTACTGTAAAGAGGAGGAGGAGGAGGAGGAGGAGGAGGAGGAGGAGGAGGAGGAGGAGGAGGAGGAGAAGAAGAAGAAGAAGAAGAAGAAGAAGAAGAAGAAGAAGAAGAAGAAATAATAATAATAATAATAATAATAATAATAATAATAATAATAATAATAATAATAATAATAACAACAACAACTTTTAGGAACACAAAATAAGTCAAATATCCTCCAGAAACACCAGATTTCAAGTATCATTATGGGAGGTGAAGCCCAACTCCTGAAGGGCTTTAGGCTGTGAAAAGTGTGCTGGAACATGTGTTGGATATTCTTTGATGTTATAAATTGCAGGAAAAACCCAAAAGCAATCCGACGAGAAAACAAATACAGGCTGAAGGAAAGGATGAAAGAAAGGGCAGAATAAGTCCACTAGGAGGGGCAAAATCTGGCATTTCTATGTGAAGCATTTGTGTATATGAAAGAAAAGAGCCCTGGAATTGTGCTAGAACATTTTTTCTACCACCTGCATGAACATATAACAACAACTGTGGACTTCCATAATTCCCAGTGTAAGACAATTTAGAGTCAAGGAGACGTGTGCTCAAATGCCTTCTTGGTCCAATGCACAGAAGTCTACATCCATGGTGTTGCCTTAAGGACGACTGAGTGATAATCTCATAGAACCACAGGTTAACAGCACTCCTAGCAATGCACGGCCTTCTTCTGGGCAGGGTTGCAATCAGAGAAAGCACCTGACTTAAGGACGAATAGAATAGAATAACACCAACTTTGATTAATGATTAATAAATTGTGATTTCAGACCCAGTAGGATCACGCCGTCTTCGGAAACTCAGAGGTGGTATTTAGCAGGTTCTGACCAGTTCTGGAGAACCAGTAGCAGAAATTTGGAGTAGTCTGGAGAACCAGGAAATACCACCTTTGACTGGCCCCGCCAACCCCATCTCTTCTCTGCCTCCCATTGAGTCCCAGCTGATCGGCTGGGTCTTCTTTGGTTGCCCTGCACAGGAGAACGGAGCTGGGAAACAGGTTAGTGGGGTGAGGAGGGAATGGGGATTTTACAGTATCCTTCCCCTGCCACACCCACCAAGCCACACCATGCCCACCAAGCCATGCCCACAGAACTGGCAGTAAACATTTTGAATCCCATCACTGCAGAAACCATACGGTGGTGTTCAGATTTACCTAACTCTTGAGTGTAAACTGACTTCTCAAATTAAGCATAAAAACCAGGTACGGCTGAGTGTTTCCGCTGGCATTCGTTTGGGATTTGCTCATCTACTTACCATCCTGGAAGGTGTCATTAATGGCCACCACTGCTTGGAAAGGTTTGGCCAGCTCTGCTCCTTGAGGGGAACTCAGGTAGACCACAAAGGTCTCCACTCCCTCAATCACGGGGGATTGGGCGTCGTCCAGAATAGTCAAGGTGCAGTACTAACAGGGGAATAAGAGAAATAAAACAGCCTGTTCTACAAACATACGTACGACATTTGTTCGATTTATATAGTCTGGTTTTTGTTCTGTACAACTCAAGGCGGGGTACGTAACACTTCCTTCTTCTTCTGTTTCTGCAAAACAACAGCCCTGTGAGGTGAATTTTACCGATAGAGTCATCTACCCGGCTTCGGTGTCTAAGGGAGGATTAGAACTCAGGATGGCTATTTTTAATCTGTCATCTTAACCACTACACCCATTTGGCTCTCCATAATTAAGTCAGGCTTAACCCCTAGTCCCGTGTTGGCGAACTTATGGCACCTGTGCCGCAGGTGACACGCAGAGTCCTCTTTGCAGGCACGCGAGCCGTTGCCTCAGCTCAGCTCCACCGCGTATGCGAGCGCGCCTCTCGACGGCTAGCTCATTTTCGAATGGGGGGGGCGGGGGAGCGCAAGGGAGTTGCCAAGGTTGAAAAACACTGCATGAAATGCAGGGCTGGGCTCCTGGGGGTTCACAGGGGTTCGAGAGAGCCCCTAGCTAAGATTCTGTGCAGTTCAAAGAACCCCCCAAATCCAACTCCTGGCTGGCCCCGCCTACCCCACCCCTCCCCGGAGTCCCAAATTACCTGTTTTGCAGGTAAGTGCAAGGCTCAAGGAGGGTGAAAAACAGGCCTCCCAGAAGTTTGGGAAGGCCAGAAATGAGCCCATTTCCAACTTCCAGAGAGCCTCTGGAGCCCGGGGAGCAGAGGTGGTAAATTCAGCAGGTTCTGACCAGTTCTGGAGAACCAGTCGTGGAAATTTTGAGTAGTTTGGAGAACCGGCAAATCCCACCTCTGACTGGCCCCGCCCCCATCTATTCTCTGCCTCCCGAGACCCAGCTGATCGGCTGGGTCTTTTTTAGTTGCCCTGCACAGGAGAACGGAGCTGGAAAGCAGGTTAGTGGGGTGGGGAGGGAAGGGGGATTTTGCAGTACCCTTCCCCTGGAGTGGGGGTAATTTTGCAGTATCTTCCCCCAGGAGTGAGGAGGGAATGGAGATTTTACAGTATCCTTCCCCTGCCACACCCACCAAGCCATACCCGCAGAACCGGTAGTAAAATTTTTTTGAATCCCACCACTGCCAGAGAGGGCAACCCCCCCCAGCCCCCCACCCTGCCGTGGTGCAGGAGACCAATTAGGCCACCATGGCCACACCCACCCGATGAAATGGATAGCAACATCTATTTGCATGCGTTTCCTAATGAAATGCCTCCGTATTTGGCAGTTAGTTTTTTTTTTTTAATTCTGATCTACATAATAACACTGAGCTGATGGGTCTCAAGAGGTGGGTTAATTGGAGGAAGGGGATGTGAAAGAAGTCCATTTCACTGTCATCATCTTGGATAGCTCCCAACACCTCTTGGCTGATGGTTACCATTTCCTTTCCCAAAGCAAGGTTTACCAGAATAATTTGGAATCGTATCAGAGTACATCAAAACAGATTTCAAGATGCTTGATAAAGCAGAGAGGACTACGGTTCGTTCGACAGTCCTAAATTCTACCAGGATTTTGCCACGTGATTTAGGCTCGTGAAATTTTTTTAATGTAGGAACACGCCATTCTGGAGAATTTTTCTATGATGGGCTCTGAAAACGAATCCACCCATTACAATTTGAAAAATATATATATATATGTGTATATAGCCGTACCTCCTCGGTTCTGCCTGGATGAAATTCAACCTTCTTGGAGCTGGGAATATAATCAAATCCCGGAGTAGCAGATGGCGGCTCTGATGTCCGAGTGGCACACCAGACCGAGGTTGGAATGGAGAGATCAGGCCCATGCCTGATAATTGGGATTTCGATAATCCCTAGCAGGGAGGATTTAAAAGCAATTAATTTCAAATGGAAAACAGAGAAGATTACCGCTGCGTGTACCCCCATTTCCAAAGGACACGGCAGCCCTCACGTCTAACATGCTTTAACAAAAACGATGCTGAAGTGAACATTGTTATGGAAAGGAACCAAAATTGTATAAACTGTTTGTAAACCACCCGGAGTCACATAGGGAAGATGGAGGGTGTAAAAATGGAATAAATAAATAGAGGATCCTTCGTTGAGCTGCAAATACAGAAAAGGATATTTCTGGGTACGGAATTCACTAGTCTTTCTTGTAGAAGCAATAGTTGTCAGATGGATCACCCGAAAAGTAATACAGATAATCCTTGATTTATGACCAGTCACTTAGGGATAGTTCCAATGAATCTACAATTTAAAGTTCTGATGATCTCTCTCTCTCTCTCTCTCTCTCTCTCTCTCTCCCATCTTCTTTTCTTTTCTCCTCTCCCCCCTTCCTTCCTTCCTCCCCCCACTTTCTCCTTCCTTCCTTCTGCTATCTTTTCTCTCTGCTCAGCCGACCTTGTCCAGACCTCCAACCCAAAGCCCCCCCTGCCCACAGCAGCAGGTGGAGAGAAAAAGGAGGCCAGTGGGAGGAGGGCTTTTCTGTGGGAGTCCTTCGCCTCTTTCTATCTACTCCATCGGTCTAAGGCTGCCCTTTCAGCCCTGGGTCTGGGGGGGGGGGCTCTGTGGTGGGGCCCCCACCCCAGTTGTTGGCTCGATTGCAGCAGGAAAGAGGTGGGGAAAAAGACCAGAAGGCTGCTAGTACCTTTCCCCTTAATCGATCTTATGAAAAAGCCTTTTCATTAGTTGGAAAAGGTACTGTCAAATCCATTTTGATATTTTTTGGGGTGGGGGTTTCTCTCTCCCTCTCTTTCTCCCTCCCTCTCTCATCTATCTATCTATCTATCTATCTATCTATCTATCTATCTATCTATCTACCTACCTACCTACCTAACTTTCTATCTGTCTATCTATCTATCCTGTCTTTTACCTATATCTATCATGTATCAATCAACATCTATCATCTATATCACCTCTCTCACACACACACATACACACATCTATCTTGTCTTATCTACATCTATCATCTGTTTGTCATATCTATCTATCTATCTATCTATCTATCTATCTATCTATCTATCTATCTATCTATCTATCATAACCATCTCTCTTTCTCTCTCACACACACACACATATATGCTCACACATACACACTCATGTGACTGCACTTCAGGTCCTTGGCAACCCTGCAACATTTATGGCCTTTTGCAGTGTCCCATAGTCACGTGACCCCACTTTAATACATTTTTGCCAAAAAACCCAGCATTTATTTCTGGGTTGTTGTTTTTTGGGGCAATTCTTATCCCTAGCAAACCCTTGCTTAACAACCATGTTCACTTAGCAACTACACCAAAAAAGATCATAAAATTAGGCAACGATGAGACCCATTTCACATCTGTCATGAGTTAGGGTTGTGATGGGCAGGCTCCGTAACTCGAGGACTACCCAAAGTCCCATACCAACCACCCACCCGCAATCCCACCAACCAATCACAGGTTCAAAGAGCCGAGTTAGGTGAACCTTAAATGCAAGCAGGCTTCATAGCGTTAAGTGGGCATTGATTCCTTTATCCAAAAAAAAGAGAGAATTTATTTAACGGTGCTTTTATTTGGAAACTGCTTCTGGATTTTGTGCTTGCAACAAAAAAATATATATGGAAATTTTGATTGTGTTTTTGCTAATTAGAAAGGTTGGTTATTATAGAAATGGCTAGCATATGTTGTTATCGAGGTTATAATATTATTTTCTACTGTGCTAAAGAGACTCAATACCTTTTTCTTTTCCCTCTTTACACAGTATTTTTTTTTCTTTTTCCCTCCTCCTAGGGTTCTATTACTTTGTATTTTATATTTTGATAAACTAATAAAAAAGATGTACAACAGCATTAAGTGAGCATCATAGAAATCAGCCAGATGTTTTTCTCAGTGGGGCGCATGGTCTCTTCTTTCCTTAAAGTTTGATTCCATGCCTTGTATAGGTAGTCCTCGACTTACAACAGCAGTTGAGCCTAAAATTTTCATTGCTAAGCAAGGCAGTGGTTAAGTGAGTTTTTGTCAAGGGAATCAGGAGCCAAGGCGGTTCAAATGAATGCAGGTTTATAGCATGCTAACGCTCTCTACAAGAATCTGAACTACTAACCAGCAAAAGAAAATTGGTGGTAGATAAGATTCAACGGAATTCAGGGTGGGTTGGATTTAGATTTTTTGCGAGCACAAATGGGCTCAAGACTGATTACTTGCTTGACTCCCCCCCCCCGCCTTGGGCTCAGCCTGGCCATCTCCTACAGTTTTGCCCCATTTTACGACCTTTTTGCCACCGTTGTTAAGCGAATCACTGGAGCTGTTAAGTAAATCATGTGGTTATTAAGCAAATTCGGCCTCCTTTGCTTGTCGGAAGTCTCCTGGGAAGGTCACAAATTGTGATTGCACAACCCAACACAAATTGTGATTCCACAACAAGGCAACTGTCAGAAATACATGCCAGTTGCCAAGCATCCAGATTTTGATCACCTGACCCTCGTGATGCAGTGTTGGTCATAAATAAGTGTGAAAACTGGCCGTGTCACTTTTTTTCAGTGGCGTTCCAACTTTGAATGGTCACTGAACAAATGGTTGTAAGCCGAGGACTTCGTCTATGCCTACTTTGTGCGTTAAATGTAAAGAGGATAATACAGCACACGGCAGGAGAGAAATAATTCCCATAATAATATCTGCATCCTCACTAACATTCCTACTGTTTTGCCCCATTTTACGACCTTTTGGGCACTGTTCTTAAGCGAAACCCCGGAGCTGTTAAGTAAATCATGCTGTTGTAAGCCAAGGGCTCTGTGGATGCCTATTTTGTGCGTTATATGTAAACGGGATAATAATACAGCACATGGCAAGAGAGAAATAATTCCCATCGTTATACCTGCTTCCTCACTAACGCTAAACGCCGCACTTCCGAGGGATACAGTCGAAGCATCGTTGGGACCACCGATCGTAACTTTAGCGGAAGTGATGCTCCCGAGGCGAGCGTTCTCGGATGGATCGGTCAGAGCAATTTCAAATTCTTCTTCCTCTTCATACTCGCTGTCGTCAATTAGCTTCACATCACAAGTTGCCGTTGTGATGCCAGGCCCCAAGACGACCCGATTCTCGTTGGACATTGCCCGGGATTTAAAGTCTGAGCCGGATTCCAGGGCATACATGCTGCTGCCTTGGGCACTTTGAGAGATGGTGTAGCATATGGCTGAGATGAGGCTGCTAGAATCCCCTACAATACATATTGCAGAGAAAAAAAAGGTTATTTTCTGGAATTCAAAACAATCCTCCTCCAACAAACATACTTCTTGCAGGGATTCTTTAGCTAAAATGTCAGGTTTTGATCTTGAAAGGGATAGTTATTTTATCTGGATCATGGTGTTCTGACCCAGGCTTAGCAGAACCAAGAAACAAGACTTCTTGTCCCCAAAAAGCCCTCTTTATTTAGTTGCTGTGAATTCATGGCATTCATACACAGAAAAATCCCAGCGATAATCCTTCCAAGGGTTAAGTGCAAGAACAGACCTTATCAGTCCTTGGATAATTGCCAGGCCAAGAGCTTCCAGTTAGCAAAGCTGTAAATTAATTCCTGGCAAGGAGTCTCCGAGGACAGGATAAGCAAATCTTCCTAATAATAAGCAAACTAATTGTCTCCTGAAACCACCACTCCCCTTTTGTTGCTATTTATTCCCCAGGGAGGGGCCATTCAGCATCCACATGTGCCTTTCTTTCTGAGTTGGCCCCTGTTCCTTAATTGTTCTCCTCTCCTGACAGCTCTACACATACGCACATCTGGAACAGGCTCCAGCCATTCTTCTTCCCCAGCATCTCCGACTCCATAGGCAACTGGGAAATGTCGGATGTCCCTGGCCTATCTCTACTTCGGACGCAGAGCACCCATCAGAGCCTTCCTCAGACTCCAGGACTGGCCCAAGTTCCTCATTGTCCAACTCTGCTGCCAGCTCTGCTGGCAGCTGGCGGGCCACAACACATGATTATGTTGGTGGGAAGCAGATAATTTGGCGTGAAATCAGTTTTTAATGAATTTTCTTGCTACTTTTGATATGCGTATTGCTATTTATCTTGGTTTGATATAATACAGGTAGTCCTCAACTTACAACAGTTCCTTTAGTGACTATTCAAAGTTACAACAGCACTGAAGAAAATGACTTCTGACCGTTGCAGCGCCCCCATTGTCATGTGACCAAAATTCAGGCGCTTGGCAACTGACTCATATTTATGATGGTTGCAGTGTCCTGGGGTCACGTGACCCACTTTTGTGACCTTCTGACGAGCAAAGATTCACTTAACTGTTACTGACTTAACAACTGTAGTCATTCACTTAACAAATGCAGCAAAAAAAGTCATAAAATGGGGCCAAACTCACTTGATCTATTTCTCACTTAGCAACCTAAATTTTAGGTTAATTATGATCGTAAGTTGAGGACTACCTGTAACGGGCAGACTCCATTGTGGTCATAAAACAAGGACAACCTTTGTCTGGTCTGACATTTTTACTGTTAGCCTTTCCTAAATTGCTCATTCTTATAGTGGATTCCTTACAAGTATTATATAACCCTGAACATTCTGCTGAGAAATCTAACGGTCCACTTAAATTCTAATTTTACATTTGCTTGCATTTTGTTTACATCTTCTGAACTGAACCACTAATGACTTTTTTTTCAACACTAAAAAAGTTCTGAGTATGGTCATGATGTACATACATGCCATGACATGCTGGATGAGCCCTATTATGCCTTTGAGTCACGTCGTATGAACTCCGACGATACTCCGGTGGTTTTTAAGAAATACTGTCTTTTCGCAGAGATAAGCTCCAATAAGCTCTTAAGAAAACCGAAGAGCACTGTTTGAAAAGCAGTGAACCAAAGAACAATAACCTGGAACTCAAGCAATAGTTGTCAACCTTTTCATATTTATCTGAGTCCTTCCTACATTCTTCAACACAATCCAATTTCTTCCTTCCTTGTTTTTTACAGGGCATAGCAATTTTTCTTTCTTCCTACAAATAGACATTTCAAACTTCATTGCCTCTGCAACGCTGGATCTCTTTCACCAGAGAAGAAGAAAACAAAGCTTGGAAATTTATGCAAAGTTATGGCATTCTCCTGCTGAGTATTGAAGTTCCTTTTTAAAGGGAGAATTCCACGCAAAATGGAAAAGAAAAAAAGGATGGCAATATTAAAAAATAACCATAGCTGTTCACACACCTCTGCTACAAGTGCAGCGTCCCACATGAAAAGGAGAGAAGCTGCTAATATTCCTTTAAAAATCACATTTGTCAGGCACTTACCAAGCCCACCCGGTGAGTAGATCAAAGTTAGTTCTCTATTGCTGCATGCTTATTTACAGGAATCTCACCAGACTGCCTGCATTCTTTTGGGAACCGTCAGATAAGGCTTCACAGATTCTGGGGGGGGGGGGGAGTAAATCCTGCACCGCTTTCTGCAGTACAAGGACTCTAAGCTAGGCCCCCTCTTCACGCCTCCTCCCAGTCTAGCTGGAGATTCCATCGTGCACATTTTATTTCATGGAGTTAAAGATGAAGAAACCTGACCTGCTTTAATCCAATCAGGTCAAAGTCTCCTTTCCGTTTGGTGATTATGTGATGTCTATTATGGACTACTTTTGATAAACACGCATTGGTGCATTCAGTAAGATAAACAGTTGAAAGTCCTGAATCGTGCAAACAAGGCTGCTAATACAGATAGTCCTCAACTTACAACCATTCGTTTAGCGACCGTTCCAAGTTACAACGGCACTGAAAAAAGGTGACCCATGACCGTTCTTCACACAGCATCACCACGGTTACATGATCAAAGTTTGGATGCTTGGCAACTGATTCATAGTTAAAACAGTTGCAGTGTCGGCAAGCGTAAGTCATAAAATGGGGCCAAAACTCACTTAAACGTTGCCTCGTGTCACGGTGGAAATTTTGGACTCAACTGGGGTCGTAAGTCAAGGACTAAGTGCAGCCTGAATTAAGTGCAACTGCATTCTACGGAGGGGAGTTAAAAGCTAACTTGTTCCTCTATGTTAACCAACCTTTCCTTTCAATGGGGACAGAGAGGATACTGGCACTCTCACTGGTGTGGTAGACTTTCTTGTCAAATTGCAGGGTGGGCTCATCTTCTACGTCATTAATGAAGACTTGGGTCGCAGTGATGTTGCCCAGCAAGGCATACGCTGGCATACTCAGCTCAACGGAGAAGCTTTCTATACCCTCAAAGATGCCGTCATCGTGGATAACAATGGTGCAAGTTTTGAAGTCTTCCCATTCATCAAACTGCACCTGCATGGGATGGAAAGTAACAGCAGGTGGAAAGAGATTTTGTAAAAAAAAAAGTCAATGAATACTCCACCTTTACCATCGTCAATGAATATCTCCACCAGAGACTTGAGTTGGACTCAGCACTATTCGTGAGGATCTTCAGGACCGTGAAACATTTTTAAGGACTTGTAATACAGGTGACCTGATGGCTCAGTGGCTAAGACCCCGAGCTAGTCAATCAGAAAGATCGGCAGTTCGGCGGTTCGAATGCCTAGCGCTGTGTAACGAGTGAGCTCCCATTACTTGTCCCAGCTTCTGCCAACCTAGCAGTTCGAAAGCACGTAAAAAATGCAAGTAGAAAAATAGGGACCACTTTGGTGGGAAGATAACAGCGTTCCGTGCGCCTTCGGCTGGCCACATGACCACGGAGACGCCTTTGGACAGCGCTGGCTCTTCGGCTTTGTAACGGAGATGAGCACTGGCCCCTAGAGCCAGAAACAACTAGCACATATGTGCGAGGGGAACTTTTACCTTTACAGGTAGTTCTCGACTTATAACAGTTCACAAATCTTAAAGTTGCCCAAGTTTGGATTCCCCTGTCCTAAACAGTCGGAATCTTCATCATGACCTTCAGTCATGGTTGTTGCTTCCACATCTCTTCCTGACCATGCTAGGAGATAGCTTGGCCCATTCTTCCTTAAACTGAGAGTCTTTCAAGTCTTCTATTGGGCTATATAATGAATTTCCTGTGCTCACCTGGCTAGCATATTCAAGGTAATCCTGTTCCCCTGGTTGAGAACTTGAACCAGAGGTGGCCGTTCCTTGTTCTGTACGGCACAGGACAATAGCATATTGCTTGAGGTTTCCTGTCCTCTTCACAGCCACGCTGATGGAACCGGCCTTTTCACTGATGTTGTAGCTGAAAAGAAAGATGGACAGAATGGGCTTCCTTCAGATCACAGAGTAGGAGCAACCCAAGCTTTGTGGAATCACAAAGAATGCATTGAAATGAGTCCTCCTCAGTTTAGTGTTTATGTTAGACTTATATTAGGAGACAGGGACGTGGTGTCTCAGTAGCTAAGACGCTAAGTTTGTCGATCAGAAAGGTTGGCAGTTCGGCGGTTCGAATCCCTAGCACTGCGTTAATGGAGCGAGCTTCCATTACTTGCCCCAGCTTCTGCCAACCTAGCAGTTCGAAAGCATGTAAAAAAATGCAAGTAGAAAAATAGGGACTAGCACATATGTGCGAGGGGAACCTTTATCTTTACCTTTACCTATATTAGGAAGCTTCTACTATGTGTTCTTTTATTCTATTGTTCCCAGAAGCAAATTAAGAAGTTAACTTGGAATTTATAACAACTTAATTAACTTAAATGTGCTTGCTTTCTCTTCTTTTATTGAAAATGGGAAACCTGCCTTCATTGGGGGCAATTCAATCTAATCAAATTCATTTAATTTAACTCCAGGAGGAAAAAAAAAAGGAAAGTTAAAAGACAAGAGCAACAAATTCAACTTGGCCAAAGCTGAGATACACCAAGCGGGTTAAATAAAGCCTCTTGGAGCAAATTATCAACAAATCACACAAATATACCAGCTGAAGTAAAAACGAACAGGAAATGCTTTGTTCAAGATATGAAAGTCCAGCCCACTCCTTCATCCATGGGCCATTTGCATTTCTCTTTTCCTACATGAGATGTTTGCGGTTTCCTTGTCACTTTCTTTAATGAAAAGAAGGACTAAGGATAACGTTATAGTAGTATTCCAGCATCTAAGGATCTACCACAAAGAAGAGGGAGTCAATCTATTCTCCTAAACGCAGGACAAGAAGCAACAGACAGAAGCTAATCAAGGAGAGAAGCAACCTAGAACTAAGGAGGAATTTCCTGACAGAAAAGAGACCATTAATCAGTGGAATGGCTTGTTTCCAGAAGTTGTGGGTGCTCCAACACTGGAAGTTTGTAAGAAGAGATTGGACATCCATTTGTCTGAAATAGTATAGGCTCTCCTGCTTAAGAAGAGATTTGGGCGGGAAGACCTCCAGGTCCCTTCCAATTCTGTTATTCTGATATTTCCACCATCTTTGCCTTCTTAGCAATAGCATAAAACAAATTATATCACATGATATTCCAGAAGTTTGGATTTCACTTCAAGGTGATTTTTCATACGTGTTTATTTAAAATATTAATTTTCTGATACATTAAAAAAAACAACCCGTCCATAAAAAAGAAGAAATCAGGCGCCTTCTTTCATATGTGGTGGTCATGTTCTAAAGCAAAGAAACTTTGGAATAAAATAAGGATTTGGCTGCAATAAGTAATTGGTTTAAAAATAGAATGTTCTTATTAGGGATAATCAGAGGTGAATACAAGGAAGACATTGAATATATAATACATATATTGACAGAAGCTAGAATAATGTATGCCCAAAATTGGAAATTAGAGAGTATTCCCACAGATAATATGGTTACAAAAAAATTATGGATTATGCAGAGATGGATAAACTTACAACGGAATTGCAGGAGAAGAAAAATGGTATGTTTGGTTAGATAACAGGAATAAAAGATAATGTAAAATGTAAATGATGTGTGTATTTGTGTGTGTGTGTGTATAAATGAATATGGAAAAGTCAATGCCACAACTTACTACAAAAATTGTATATATGATTTGTTTTTAAAAGTGTAAAAATTTAATAAAATTTTCTGTTAAAAAAAGAAAGAAGGAACTTGCTAGCTGCGGACAATAAACATGCTATGCAGTGATGGGATTCAAATAATTTAACGAACGGTTTGCCCATGGTCAGGTTAGTTGTTGTGGGAGGCGTGGCCCATCCCCGTCTTCCAGTTCCACCGCACATGTGCGACGAGCCTCCTGAGACTGCCAATCTGGCCCTGAGCGAACCGGTTGTTAAATTCTCCCCCCGCCACCCGCTACCAAAGTGGATCCTGGGCGCTGCGCTGCAATGGCAAAACAAGCAATGGAGCAGCTGGTACGAGGGAAGAAGGAGGAGGGAGGGAAAGCAGCCTTCTCCTTCCCTTGCGCCAGCTTCCCCACTGCACATTTCTCCATTGCAGCGCAACACCCAGGATCAACTTTGATAGCGGAGGTGGGAAGAATTTAACAACCGGTTCATGTGAACCAGTGTGAACCGGCTGAATCCCACCACTTATGCTATGGCATCGTAACAGTAAGAATACCGTCCAATGGCTGAATAATTACATTTCTGCCTTGTTATGAAGAAAAAGCTGGTAAGTGGGGTACCTCGTATGTTGAAAGCTGATAACAGACCACTGAATATGGAAGATATTATCAGCGACAATGCTGGGTTTGCTGTCCTTCACCAGGAACTGAAAACTATCTTCTGTCCTTTGAACATTCTCTTCATGTAGCACATACTGGATCAATCCCAAATTCACGTCCTCTGTTAGATAAAGACTTCAACAAATTAATCCAGAAATTGAAGATAATTTTTTTTTTACATTCCTTTGCAAATCATGATAATAGCCTCCGTGCTAATCTATTTTCTGGATACGGAACAACCCCTGTTGCTCAAAAATGATTTCACCATATCTAAGCTTATCAATGCAAAATTTTATCAAATGATCCAGGCTGGGGAACCCAATTCGTTTCATCCAGAGCCTAATAGAACCTCAACTGAAGACGACCAAATAAATAAGGCTCTTAGGGGCTGCAGAATTCAATGAAATTGCAGACTTAAGCAAGCAACCCATAAAAAACAAACTTATTTTGTGCATCAGTAGGAAAGGGAAAATCAAAGCGACCATATTGTTAATTATTATTAATTATATTATTATTATTAATTATTTTCTAAGGATCTATCCTGCCACACTCAGAATACTGGTCATTCCAAAAGATATTACTGAACTTTAGAAAAGGAAAAAAACAAAACAGGAAGAAGACACCAGACTGGAACTGTAGCACTATAGAAAAGCAAGTGTTGGGATCAGAGAAGAAGAAACTGAACCTTGATATGGGAGGGAAATGTTTCTTCCTTTCTCTGAATCTAAGAATATTAGACATTCTCCATCCGTTTGAAGGGTCGGGAGTTTCAGGAGAAATAAAAGGCAAAAATTAACTCTTTAATTAAAACTTTCTCTTGGGGTGTATAGTTAATCCCATGGGATTGGATGGTTAGCATTCGGAGCGGTGGTGGGGCGGTGGTTAGAGTGCAGTACTGCAAGCTACTTCTGCTACAGCCAGCTGCCTACCATTTGGCAGTTCAAATCCCACCAGGCTCAAGGTTGACTCAGCCTTCCATCCTTCCGAGGTGGGTAAAATGAGGAGCCAAATTGTTCGGGGCAACAGGTGACTCTGTAAACCGCTTAGAGAGGGCTGTAAAGCACTGTGAAGCGGTATATAAGTCTAAGCGCTATTGCTATTGCTATTAAACCATAATGAGGTTAGGTTCTGTCTCTGCATGTTGAGTCAATCCAGAAATCCTAATTTGTAAACCGGGTTATAGCTTAGCATGGTACACGATCCCCTCCAGCTGTGGCTTGGTCCAGCCATTATGGTTAAATAAACCAGGGCTCACTGGGGTGGGAATACAATCATTGATTACGAACAACTTGAACACAAAACAGCAAGATGGCATCTTTGGATGTCTTCCCTGATTTTTTATGTCCTTGGAGATGTTTCCCTTCTCACCCAAGAAGCTTCTTTAGTTCCGAATCTTCTTGGACGAAGGTCCTTGGATGAGAAGCAAAGCACTTTCAAAGGAAAAACCAAGAAAGTCCAGTTGCCTTTTTGAAAAGCACCTTTGGGACAACCATGACCAGGATGATTGAGAATTTCCGTAGACGTTTTCCCTGATTGTCAAATTCAGAGTTCTGCTTTGCATGGGTCATGTTCAATCTTCTCTAGGTTCATCCAGCATCAAATCTTATCTGGGTTTATCTAGCATCTCCTTCCATTCCTCCAGGAGAAAAGGACTTACACTCAGTAAGAAGGCACAACACCAAAGAGCCAAACGCCAACCTGGCTTATACCTTGTGTAAAGGTAGTCACCATCGTTCTTGGCTGCAATTTCTTCTCCACGTAACCGTATTTGGGCCCTGTTGTTATTTCATAGATCAGATGGTTGTCTTCTGTATCAGGGTCCATAGTCAACAGTTCCTTCTTAGTGATGAGGTTTTTTGGCTGGATGGAAGACCAGAAACCAGTGAAAAAGAGTTTGTAAACCCTGAGATTTAAAAATGAAATCCTACTAACACATTTGGGGGGGGGGTGTCAGAGTATATTCATTAACTGGCAGAGACATGGTTAACAAAGTTAAGCATGGCAACAGACCAGCCAATGGGAACTGACAGCCTGGATGTGGTTTGGCTCTGTGTGCTTTGCTGAAAAGTGAAAGAGAAACTAACTTGCTTGCTTGCTGAAACTGGTATCTGTTCATCGCTGCTGCTGCTGCTTGTGTTTTTGCTTATGTTACATTGAAAGAATCTACAAATGGTATTGTAAACTTTACTCATTTATGATGTTTATAAAGAAGTTAATGATCCAGCTGAATCAGTCACCTGTATATTTTCTGGACTTGAATTTATGCTGCAAACAACTATGCTTGTGTGGAGTGACCATTTCAAGTTACAATGGCACTGAAAAAAAGTGACTTATGGCCATTCTTTTACACTTATGACCACTGCAGCATCCCCATGGTCACGTGATCAAAATTCAAATGCTTGGCAGCTGGTTCATATTTATGATGGGTGCGGTGTTTTGGGGTCATGAGATCACCTTTTGCGACCTTCTGAAGTCACTGGGGTACCAGATTCACTTAACAACCGTATTACTAACTTAACAACTGTAATGATTCACTTAACAACATAAGGAATTAGTCTCCGGTGCATAAGGTCTCAGTGTACATACAAGCAATAAGTGATAAGTCACGATCCTGATCATCGTAAAAACACATTCATCATGAATCATAAGCTACAACACTTAGTGATAGTCTTAGGATGCTAAGTAAGCAATCAACATAAATCATACTAGGATACTAAATAAACAATATAAACCATAAGATACAAACACCAAAGTTACAGTCACAAGAAGATAAGGAGATAGGAAAGATGAGAATAATAATAGAATATAGCCTAACTGGATAGTTTGACAATGTTGTGGAAATTAGTTGTTTAGTAGAGTGATGGTATGGGGGGGAAAAGATTTCACCTTTTAAAGACTATATATCTGTACACAGAATAGAATAGAATAATAACAGAGTTGGAAAGAACCTTGGAGGTCTTCAAGTCCAACCCCCTGCTTTCCAAGAAAGCAAACATGAGACAAAGGTAACAGCACCATCTTTTAATGGTTTTTTTTTAATGAATCCCGTTCTTTCACGGGTAAAAGGCTGCTTCAAACCAATGAGCTCCGATAAGAAAGAGCCTTGCCAAGGTTTTTCAAGGCTGCCAAGAACACCAGATAAAGTTACTAAGCAATAATTCCAACACAAAGAGTCTCCAAACACCAACTCAGATATTCCTAACGTCCACCACGTTTGAGTGTAAGACTTCTTTGCCTTCTGCAAAGAACTGCAGTTTCTCAGCTGGCTTTTATCTCCTCAGGGAGGGGCCACTACCTTGCAGCCTTACTCCTGAGTCGCCCGTGCTGTTGCAGCTAGTCTTTCCTTTGAGCAGCCCTGCACGTGCACACGCTGGGCACGGGCTCCTTGGGGGCCTCTTCATCTCTGCTGCCAGCCTCCACAATCTCCAAACTCCAAAACTCCGATGGTCCTGGCCCCATCCCTACATCACACACAGGCCCCTCATCTGAGTCCTCGCTCTCTGAGACCTCAGCCATCCGCACCTGCTGCAGGTAAACCACAACATTTGGACAACCTTATACCATTTCAGACAAATGGTTGTCCAATCTCTTATTTAAAATTTCCAGTGTTGGAGCATTCACAACTTCTGGAGGCAAGTTGTGCTACTGTTTTCTCCAAGATGTTGAACTTACATTGTTCATTTTATCTCCTCCCAACGATCTGGTGAGGTTGGTTGGCCTAAGAGAGAATAACTGGGCCAAAGCCACTCATGAGCTCCCCTGGCCTAGGCTGGATTTGAACCTCAATCACCCTTGTTCTACAACAGGGGGTGTCAAACTCAAGGCCTGGGGGCCAGATCCAGCCACCTGCTTAGATCTGGCCTGTGGGCTGCTGGGGAAATAGCGAAGGCACCGGCCCGCGGTGCCTCTACCAGCAAAAATGGAGCTCGGGAGGGCCACAGGCAGCCCTCCTGAACTCCATTTTCACTGGCAGAGGGTTGCAGGAGGTTGTCACAGCTGAAAGTGGAGCATGCGATTTCACTGGCAGAGGGTTGCAGGAAGCCCCTGCAGCCAAAAACGGAGCTCGGGAGCCCGTTTTCACTGGCAGACCACTCGGGCCACCAACAGGCACTCCAACACGAGTGATGTTGAGCGGGCCACACCAGTGGTGGGAATCAAAAAGTTTTAGCACCGGTTCGGTGGGCGTGGCTTGGTGGGCGGTGCCAAACACGCCCTTTGCGCAGAGGCGTTTGCGCAGGTGCAGAGGCATTCCAACTCAACCTCCTGCAAGCCTGCAGTCTCCCGGTCGCTTCAGCAGCTGCTGCGTAGCATTCTGCTGTGTCGCGCAAAGCAGCTGCGCCTCAAAAGTAGGACATAAAAGTAAGTATGGGAGCCCGGAAAGGCGGGTGGGCCTAACAGCAGAGCAGTGGAGAGAACCGGTTCTGCTCATTGCTGCTACCAGCTCAGTAGAACTGGGCCAAACAGGTAGAATACCACCACTGGGCCACGCCCATCCTGCCCACCCCCGCAAGATGAAACACAACCCTGATGCGGCCTTCAATGAAATCGAGTTTGACACCCCTGTTCTACAACAACCCCGTCATCCTTGAATGCCCCCACCCAGATCCTTTCAGCTTTTTCAGATCTTCTGGTGTTGGGCTATTGCCTATTCTCTTAAATCTGGGTCCTTGGTGCGAAACCTTCTGATAAAGATACCGAAGCACCGGTTCTCAAGGCAGACTTCGGACCTTCTGAAAGCAATCTGTGCCGCCCCCCACCAAAAAAAGTTTTTAAAAGTCACTCGCACCCTCTCATCTGTCACCCGTCCACCGCCGTTGAAATGTGTGGGGTGTTTGAGCACCCTGCTCAGCTTGCAATTAAAATCTGTTTCCATTTCTCGGCCTCTTCACTGGTGATCGAAGCACCCACTTTGATTAATCGCAGCAATTAATCCATCAGAGCTTCCCACTTAAGGAATGCAAATGCTATTAGCCAGGAATAAGACATCAGGGCCCCGCGGCCTATGAAACGAGAGCGCTGGGCGGGGAGGAACTTTAGCCTTACAGTTTAAGATGGATGGCTTAGTTTAGCCACAACTGCTGATGTAACAAACAGCCGAGGTCTGTTCCGTTCATCACAGCAGCTGGCAGCAGCGAGAGGAGATGCACACTCACAAACATGCCCCATCCAGCCTTTTGCTTGGAGAACTTCACTCCGTCTCTGTTTTGTGTGTGTGTGTGTGTGTGTGTGGTCAATGGTAGTCAGGAATAGCTATGTTGCTGTCCCACAGCAGTGATGGCAAAACCTTCGGGCTTTGCACATCAAATATTCAGAAAACGCTTAACTTGATTTTGAGGGGTCCCTGGTGCTCTGAGCTTGCTTGTTTTGAAACTGCAGGTGTTTTATTACCCAACCTAGGTAACATCAGCAGTGCTAGTCTTCAACTAGCACCGATGATGTTCCCTAATTTGGGAAATGAAACGTCTACAAGAATACAAAGCAAGCTCCGAGAGCACCAGGGATCCCCTCATGTCAACCCTGAGCTACAAATAATCTCCCTTATTGGTAACTGGGCTTTGCTGGCAAATACAGTCTGTTGATGCTGTGTACCATATAAAGAAACGTCAAGTAATTGCAAAAAATGAAGTGCAAATAAAATGCACTTATTTTCAGAGGCTCCTGAAGCTGCCCGAGAGCTCTGCCCTCTTGCACTAATACTGGAGGTGACATAAGAGCACAGGCTCTGCAGACTCTATAACTGTCTGAGAGAGGAGTGTGCTTTTAAAAATAGTTGTTGTCAGGTATTATGGTCGTATGTTGAGGGCTACATGTCTATCATAAGCTTGGCAACTTTAAGACTTGTGGACTTCAACTCCCAGAATTCTCTGGGACCATAGCTGGCTGGAGAATTCTGGGAGTCGAAGTCCACAGGTCTTAAAGTTGCCAAGTTTGGAGGCCTCTGGCCTAGTGTCACAGAGAACAGGGCGATATGTACGTAATATAATAAATAAACTTTATTCTACTTTTGCCTGTTGATTCCATTTTTAGTTCTCGGAACACCTCCCGAGTGGCTGAAATAAAAAACGTGCGTGATTTTTCCTCCCCGATCATTTCATTGAAGGATGGAGTTGATGCAACTCGCACATAAATCGTGGCTTACGATGGAATGCATTGTGTAAATCTCACCGTTGTGGCTTAAGGATGAAGCTATAATTAAAACAATTTCATGCTTTAGATGAGTAAAAAGTCTGCCTGAAATATCCACAGTTGGATAGAATGAAAAATGGCATTTTTTTTTCCTGGCTCTTCGCCTTCCTATTTCTGTGCAAGTTAAAAAGGGGGAAGAGTTCAAATTCAAATTGGAAACAAATCAGATGTAAAAAGCTCACCTTGCCATTCATATATTCCAGCCACTGAAGACCTAAATTAGTGACAACTCTTGGAGTTCCATCATCCACGGGGAGAATTTCAATTCTAAACCACTGGGGCACAGCAGTCACAATCTGAAAAATAAATATGTATATATTCAGGACGCTTGTTTCTGCAATGGTACGGAATTTACCATACTGGACAAAATGCCCTTCTGTTCTTTTGTGTCCTTATGTCAAGTCACTCAAAACAGTATTTCAAAATATGCACAGTCCCAAATGGGTTTTCACTTCTCTTTAAGTTATTTAGTATGTCAGACGGCTCCTTAAAGAAAAGGCGAATCCTATGTGCAATTTTATCAGGCCCTTAACCCAATCACCCAACATGGAGGGATTCTTCCAAATCGAATAGAATAGAATTCTACAAATGCAATGAAATTTGAAAGCTACTACAGCACAGTGCCCCAAACACCACATCACAATCACAGTATAGAGTATTTAAAAATTAAAAGAATGAAAAGAATAATAATTAAAAACCTAGTCTAAAACCTATTTAAAACATATATTAAGTTCGATAGTTTAAAGATGCCATTTTATACATAGGACTAAATTACAAATACACTGTTTGATTCAAGGCAATTTTTGCCTTAGAAAAGAAACTGTTTCTCAGTCTATTAGTCCTCATTTTAAGACACCTATAAAGTCTCCCTGATAGTAACAACACAAAATATGAATGACCAGGTTTCAGATAACAGATAATAGTTTGATTATCTATTGTAAGTCGGAAGGGACCTTGTAGGTTATCTAGTCCAACCCCCTGCCCAAGCAGGAGACCCTACACCATTTCTGACAGATGGGAGTCCAGTCTCTTCTTGAAAGCCTCCAGGGATGAAGCTCCCACAACTTCCAAAGGCAACTTCTGCTCCATGGTTTGATGGTTCTCCCTGTCAGAAAATTTCTCCTTATTTCTAGGTTTCCTACAATGTCAGTTTGGTCCAGTGGCAGTGATGGCAAATATTTTCACCACCAAGGGCCCAAACTGGAATGCATGCGCACGCATGCACGCCTGTATGCAGGAAATTGAAGACCAGCTGGCCGGTGTACATGCACATGCTGGCCAGCTGGTCTTCGCGCGCGCTGGAAACCAAAGACCAGCTGGCCAGCACGCCAGAAACCAGAAGAGCAGCTGACGACGGCACGCATGCTCACAGAGAGGGCTTTGCATGCCATCTCTGGCATATATGCCATAGGTTCACCATCACGGGATCCAGTAGTTAAGACATCAGGCTGGAAACCAGGAGATGGTGTGTTCTAATCCTGCCTCAGGCATGAAAGCCGCCTGGAGTCCAACCCACCTCTCAGGACTGTTATGGGGAAAAATAGGAGGAGGAAGGAGCATTAGATATATTTGTCATCTTGAGCTGTTTATAAAAGTAGCAGAGGTGGGAAAATACGGTAGGGTAAGGTCGAGTAGACTAGAACAGAACACAGCAGGGCAAAAGAATGGATAGATCATCTTCTTTCTTTTAACGACCCCACAATCCCTTGAGCAGGAGAGATCTGGGCAGCTGAGTGTTTACTGGCCGGATGCCCTTCCTGTTGCTAATGCGGAGCTATATTCAGCAGGTACATTCTCATTTGCCCAGAGAGAGAAATATCTGCCTCTACCCAGGATCCAACTCACAGCCTCCTGTGAGGCAAGAGGTCCACCTCTAGGCCACCGCACCATTCCTGGTGGTGGTGATAGATAGATGTGAGAAGAAAAGAGAATAATAGATATACGCGATGTAGAGCAGAACAGAACAGAAGAATGGATAGGTGTGAGGAAAAAAGAGAGCAATAGATATATGTGAGAGCAGAGCAGGACAAGAGAATCTTGCCAGACTAAAGCACTCTGCCATTTACGCACAAGCATATTCTCAGAAAACGATTAGGAAGTGGCTGTCTTTACCCTCTTTCTCTCATCAAAACAATCTGAACTGAGATCCGCTTATTCCTCTAGAATGCACCTCCTCTCTCCTGGGAACCCAGATTAGTAAATTTGATCACATATTTGCAGATATAAAAGACCAAGCCACAGTAAATTACTAAAAGAGCTGTTTGTGACCTCTCCTTGGTCTCTTTCCCACTGCTCTTCCATGTCAGGGAACAAAAGGCTTACTTGACTTGTTAGCTTTCTGCACGCAAGGGCTAGATAGAGAAAACTAAGGTTGGATTTCTTGGCCTACTATCTGAACAGCCAGAGCTGTGAGAAATTGTACCATGCACGCAGAGGTGGTGTTCAGCTGGTTCGGGCTGGTTCTGGCGTACCGGTACCTGAAATTTTGAGTAGTTCGGAGAACCGGCAAAAACCACCTCTGGCTGGCCCCACCCACCCGCCCCTGCCGTTACCTCTCCTATATTCCCTTGTTTTTTAGCTCAGCTGATTTGCACGGCAGAACAGATTGCCGCGCCTCAGCTGAGCTAAAAAACAGCACAGCTCACCAGGGTTGATACAGAGGGCGGTTCTCTGATCCCTGCTCACTCTCAGAACTGTTAGGAAACGATTTGGAAACCCACCATTGCATGTACATGAAAGACAATTTGGGCGTAGAGACCCTTGGCTTCCCCACTGACCTCTTTCCCTTCCTTTGCCACCACAAAAAGGGGATTGGTTCCATCGGACACCGTGAAAGTGAAACGGTCTTCTAAAAAATTGCTTCCGTCATGACTGTAACTGATTCGGTTCTGGAAGATGTCCTCCATGGAGAAGGCATGGGCCTGTTGGTAATGATGGCCGTCACTGGTGCGCTCCAGCTGGCCGTGGCGTGGGGGCTGCACAATGTTAAAGGTGACAGACTTGGCCTGCATACAGAATAAAATGTGTGAGGAGAAAAGTAGAGGTCACATCACACTAGGATGGTTAGTTGACAGATGGATAAAGGTTCAGGAGAAGGTCTGGTAAACTGATAGTTCTAAAGTTCTCCACAGTCTGCAGAGAGGCCCACCTGACCACTTCACTGGAAAGCAATTCTTCTAGAGACATCTACACCAGGGGTGTCAAACTCGTGGCCTGGGGGGTTGGATGCATCACATGCTGGCCAAGCCTATGCCCGCTTTAGTGAAGGGGAGAAAAGCCATGATACGTCATGTGACGATTCTGTGATGACGCGAGTTTAACACGCCTGTTCTACACTAAGGTATTTCATGGTATCAATTCATTCTGTCTTAGAAATAATATAGTTGCTGAATTTATTCTATGACTGTAGCTGCTTCCTTTCCGGCTCAATAAATCTTGTTAAAGAAGACTCTGTGAGAAAGTTATTCTGGAAGATGCGGGAGCCAAATAGCTTATCAATCCTGCTAAAACTTTCATGGGATAGGCCGGCCTTAGCTCAACGTAATATGTAAATGTGACCATCAAGGGATGGTTAAAACAAACTCAACTTACAACCATTTGCTTAGTGATTGTTCAAAGTTACAACAGCATTCAAAACAGTGACTTATTACCATTTTTCATACTGATGACTGTTGCAGCATCCCTATGGTCACGAGATCAAAATTTGGATACTTGGCAGCTGGCATATATTTATGAGTGTTGCAGTGCCTTGGGGTTGTGTAATCACTTTTTGTGATTGTCCGACAAGCAAAGTCAATGGGGAAGCCAGATTCACTTAGCAACCATGTTACTAATTTAACATCTGCATCGATTCACTCAACAACTGTGGCAAGAAAGGTTGTTAAATGGGACAAAACTCATTTAACTGTCTCGCTTAGCAACATACAATTTGGGCTCATCTGTGTCATAAATGAAAGACTACGTATAATTCTACCAAAGAAGCAGAACAAAGAGATCTAATCCTTAACTCTATATAACCTAAATCAGGGGTGTCAAACTCAGGGGCTGAATCCGCCGCAGGATGCTTAGATCTGGCCCGAGGGACCGCCCTGGAAACAGTGAAGGACCAACCCGTGGTGCCTCTGCCAGCCAAAATGGAGCACACGAGCTCCATTTTTGCTGGCAGAGGGTTCCAGGAGGCCATCGCAGCCAAAAAAAGAGCTCAGGAGCCCATTTTCACTGGGAGACTGCTCAGGCCACTACAGGCACCCCCGACATGAGTGATGTCGGGCTGGTCACCCTCCCCCTCGAGGTCAAATACTACCCTGATGCGGCCCTCAATGAAATTGAGTTTGACATCCCTGATCTAAGTCATGGCATCATTTCTGCAGACAAAACCGAAATCTCATTGCATCCAGGACTCCGTAGCCTCCAGCCTTCAGTTTTTCATGCTCGAGGAATTTATGAAACTCAGCACTTGAGGATGTGCAGTTATTGCCTCAGATGTCTCTAAATCAGAATGTGATAATTTCATGGAAGTTCCATCTCTGAAAGGTCTGTTAGTTCTGCCTACTGAACAGAACCTCCTAGCCCAGAGGTAGCATATCTCGAGATATTAGATCAGTAGAGAGAAAGGGTTTATTTATTCATGAATATATGCAGCGTCCTTCTGTTTATCCTGATTTTCAAGATGGTTTAGGGCAGGGGTGTTGAACACAAGGCCCGCCGGCTGTATCCGGCCCACAATGCGGTCGGATCCAGCCCACGGGGCCATCTTGGAAAATGTAAGGGGCCGTCCCATGTGGCTTCGGCCCAGTCAACCCAAAGAGGAGCAGCCAATCACAGGTGAAGGGGGCAGGGAGAAGGATCAGCGAGGGGACTCTGAGGGCGCTTGGGTGGGAAAGTGCATGCGTTATTCTTTGTTTTTTCCTCCCCTCCCTCCACACACACATCTCGCATAAGGGCCCGGGTGGCTCCTGCAGCGGTTGCCATGGAGACAGCAGGAAGCAACGTGGAAGTTTGGGGAGTGGCCTCAACCTGGCCCCATCCACCCAGTCCCCCAAGGTCAACCATAGTCCTGATGCGGCCCTCAATGAAATTGAACTTGACACCTGCCCTGGTTCGCCACAATAACAAAATTACAGAAAATAACATGGCCGTAGTGTAGCGATAAGCATTGGGGTAGCACAGGTTGTAGTCCACCCTCTGCCATGGAAGCACCTTAGGTGACTTTGGGTGAGTCCAAAGTATCTCATATTTTTCCTGTTGCCAAAAATAAAAGAGATGGACATGGAGGGCCAAACCCTTACCCCATGAACTTTGCCTCATGTCCCCGAACAAAAAGCAGAATACAAGTAGTTGTTGACTTTCAACAGTTCATTTAGTGACCGTTCAAAATTACGATGGCACTGAAGAGCGATTATGACCGTTCATCACAGTTGTGACCACTGCAGCATCCCCATGGTCACATGATCAAAAATGAGATGCTTGGCGATTGGTTGATAATTATGATGGGCACGGCGTCCCTGGGTCATGTGATCCCCTTTTGTTTCTTACGAACAAAGTCAATGGACAAGCCAGATTCACTTAACAATTTTGTTACTAACAACTGCAGTGATTCACTTAACAAGTGTGGCAAGAAAGATCGTCAAATGGGACAAAACTCACTTAAATGTCTCGCTTAATGACATAAATGGTGGTCATAAATCAAGCACTACCTATGTAGAGCATGTACGCAGGTGCTCCATATGATTGTCTACCGCTAGAGCAGGGGTGGACAATTATGGTTGCTTTCCCACCTGTAGACTTCGATTCTCAGAATTCCTGAACCGGCACAGTTGGCCCAGGAATTCTGGGAGTTGGAGTCCATAGGTGATAAAGGCCTCATCGTTGCCCATCCCTGTTCTAGAGGAACATACCCATTGGATGGAAACTACCATTTCCTTCTAAAGCCCTTCATGGAAGAAGACCCCCCCAAAGAGAACTCCTTTCTTCACCTCTGTGTCCGTGTCGGTGGCTTTGAGATCAAATTCCGTGATAGTTTTCCTCACGCCTTCCTGCACAGTCGTGCCCACCATCCGCACCACCGGCAAAGAATCATCAACCGGGTTAATGGTGATGTCAAAATTCTGGGTCACCTATGGGAAGAAAGAATGAGATCGGGGGTGGGATGCAAATATTTTTACTGCTGGTTGTGTGGGCGTGGTCAGGTGGGCGTGGCCATGTGACTGTGTGGGCATGAATTTTTGGGGGGCAGCAACCCCCTGCGCACTATTTCTTTTTGCCTTCAGGGCCTCAGAGAAGCCTCCTGGGAATAAGGAATAAGACAGCAAGGGGGATCCTGGCACAGCTGATCATTGGAACAGCTGATCGTTGGGAGAAGAAAAAAGAAAAAAATACCAGTTCGGCCGAACCAGTAGCTGTTTTTTTTTAACGACCAGTTCAGCCTAACCGTAACATTTTTTACTACCAGTTCACAAGAACCGGGCCAAACCAGTAGAATACCACCACTGAATGGGACCTTGAACAACGCTATTCTTGTGGGCCTTTCCACGGGCAAAAGAACCATTTTGGGGGCGGGGAGAAACCAATGGAAGTTAACTGACCTCCTCATGGCCATCTGAAACGGTGAACGTGAACGTGTCAGCATGTTCTTCAGCCTCGCTTGTATGGATGTAGTGGAGGCTGTGGGAGAGAAGGTCTCCTTGTTGGAAGGAACTAATCCTTCTGCCTAGAAAACAGCAGAAGAAGAATCCACCAGGTGCTCTCAAATCCCAAGTGTTCCCAACTTGCTTTTGGAAATTCTCCCTTGCAGCACAAACACCTATGTGTCCGGCAGCCATATTTATCCCTTCATTTGTTAACACCATCAAGACTTTAAAAGGAGGCACTCCAGGCATCTTAACTTCTATCGCTAAATAAATCACCACGATTCCCCGGGTGATCCCCCATGGATTCCGTAAAATAGGAGTCTTTGTTCTCACTTCGCTCCAAAACCAGTAAAGGTTTGCAAACCTGGCCATGCCGTGTGCTCCAAATGTCCCAGCCGAGGCTGCTTAATAATCCTGTAGAGGAGATCACCGGATTCTCCACCCTGCTTCTTGGCTGACAGCTCCAAAGTGGTGATTTTTTTCACTGAGTTTTCATCCAAGGTTATCCCAGTGTTGACAGTGACGGACAGAGATAATCGATCCCCTGGGGGAAGTGAAAATAAGAGGGCAGTCCTGGCTACAGGAAAGGGGAAAAAAATCAGTTTTTCTCTGCTGCTACAAAGCTGAACTCGATGTTTTACTTTACAAGCATAACTGGAACAGTCTGAAATTGAACACACTCAAAACCGTAGATATGGTGGTAGAGTTTTGGAGAAACCCTTCCGTACTACCACCTCATCTCCAAAGACCTACGCAAGGGTCCTCTTTGTAGACTTCAGTTCAGCATTCAATACCATCACTCCAGACATTCTTGTAACTAAACTAAACCGGCTAGTGGCACCTGAACACACCTGTAAGTGGATCATAAGCTTCCTAACAGTCAGGAAGCAGCAGGTGAAGTTAGGCAGAATCACATCTGATACCTGTACAATTAGCACAGCCCCCACCCCCCCCAGGCTGTATGCTTTCTCCACTTCTCTTCTCCCTATATACCAATGACTGCATCTCAAACGATCTGTCTGTTAAAATACTGAAGTTTGCAGATGATACAATTGGTCTCATTTGAGACAACGACAAATCCACATACAGACGGGAGGTTGTACAACTTGCCTCGTGGTGTAACCGGAACAATCTGGAACTGAACACACTCAAAACCGTAGAAATGGTGGTAGACTTTAGGAGAAACCCTCCCATACTACCACCTCTTACAATACTAGATAACACAGTATCAACAGGGGAGATCTTCAAATTTCACAAGACTTAAAATGGACACCTAACATCAAAAACGTCATCAAAAAAGTACAACATAGAATGTTCTTTCTGCACCAACTCAGAAAGCTCAAACTGCCCAAGGAGCTGCTGATCCAGTTCTACAGAGGAATTATGGAGTCTGTCATCTGCACCTCTGTAACTGTCTGGTTTGGTTCTGCAGCCCAACAAGACAGGCACAGACTTCAGAGGATTATTAGGACTGCAGAAAAAAACAATTGCTACCAACCTGCCTTCCACTGAGGACCTGTATACTGCACGAGTCAAAATGAGGGCTGTGAAAATATTTACAGGCCCCTCACATCCCGGACATAAACTGTTTCAACTCCTACCCTCAAAATGACACTATAGAGCACTGCACACCAGAACAACTAGACACAAGGACAGTTTTTTCCCAAACGCCATCACTCTACTAAACAAATAATTCCCTCAACACTGTCCAACTATTTACAAAGTTTGCAACTACTATTACTATTAATCCTGACATCCTTCCTTTCACACATCTCCTCCCACTTGTGACTGTATGACTGTAACCTTGTCGCTTGTATCCTAACGATTTTTGTTGACTGTTTCCTAGTATGATTTGATTGCTTATTGTACCCTATGACTATTATTAAGTGTTGTACCTTATGATTCTTGACTCTTGATGAATGTATCTTTCTTTTATATACACTGAGAACATATGCACCAAGACAAATTCCTTGTGTGTCCAATCATACTTGGCCAATAAAGTATTATATTCTAATTTAAAGAGACCTTTTTCAAGTGAAAAATAATAAAGTGAGCAAACGTAATTGTGTAGCAATATTTGTATTAGAAGCATTTTTCAAAAAATAATTGGGGCACATTTTTTTTTTGCTAGAGAATCGATTTTAGGTGACTAATTTAACAAGCTAATTAAGCTCTAATTTTCAAGTAATGTAGTTTCCAAGTGTGATCCATTTTTCAGGAAAGCCAGAACAAGGATGGATTTCTGTTGACTCCTCATTTAACACCTCAGAGGAAATTCCCCTGAAATATAAACCTAATCAGTGGAATTCTATGACAAATTGTATTGTGGTGAACCGTGAATTGTTCATTGGAATATCAATCTGTACCATGCAGGATGCAGAAACTAAGCAGCTAAGGTTCTCAACAGTTTCTATTATTCCAGTGCTAATAATTTGCAGCCCTTAAATTGTCTTTGTAATTGATTGTAACCACCCTATTTCACAGCTGCAGGCTTTTCCAGAATTTCTTTGATTCTAGCTAATTGAGTTCCTCGTCTATCTTGCTAAAGAAAGACAAAGCTGGGACAAGATTGTTGACTTACCTGTTACGTTAACTGAAAATTCCAAGTCTGCCATTCTGTTTCCCTTTCCATCAGTCACATCAAAAACAAAAAAAAATGCCCCAATTGGTTCTCCTTTCTCATGGCTGTATTCGACTTGTCCTGTTAATGGGAAGTCAGAAGGGAAAAATAGAAGACTTAGAACATCTGCAAGCTATCTTGCGCTAATTGTGTTTAGCTGAAGTATGTAACCAAGTTCTCTGTGAGATGATAAACTCGTCTAGAGATGCTGACTTTGATGGTCCATGGTGCTCCGCTGAACTTCTCTTTTGATGCTATCGTTCTACAAATCTATTTGCCTATATAACACACTCCTATTTTGCAGATAATTCAGCCTATTCCTGTGTTGGCGAACCTATGGCACGTCTGCTGGAAGTGGCATGCAGAGCCACTTCTGCCGGCACATGAGAGGTCACCCAGAAGAGCCCCACTGCGCATGCACCGCCGCTGCCTGACAGCTGATTATCGGGTATCTGTTGCGCATGTGTGGGGGGGAGAAGCACAGCGCACACAGGAGATATAGCGCGCATGTGCAGTTGCATGACATGCACGGGGATCATGACACATGCGCAGACATGCATGGCATGCGCAGGGGGTGCATACACATGCGCAGAGGATGGGGAGGCAGCACACATTGCCTTCTGGGTGCTGACACGCGAGTGCACACAATTTTCCGAAAAAGGGAGCCGAAAAAGGTTAGCCACCACTGGCCTATTTGTTTCTTGGTCCCATGGACTTTTCTCAGTTGATAAATATAGGAATGATCAACAAATCAGGGGTGGGGTTTTCAATTTTTTCACATTTGTTCTATGTGCGGTTCTATGCATGCACACTTTGTGGATGGGCGCGCAGAGGACTCAAAGATCGACCTCTGTCTACACTGGTGAGCTGAGCTGTTTTTTAGCTCAGCTGAGGCACGGCAATCCGCTCTCCCGCGCAAATCAGCTGAACTAAAAACCAAGGGAATATAGGAGAGGTGATGGCGGGGGTGAGTGGACGGGGCCAACCAGAGGTGATATTTGCTGGTTCTCCAAACTAGTCAAAATTTCCGCTACCGGTATTCTAGAACTGGTCCGAACCAGATGAATATTACCTCTGGAACAAATAGAGGACATCTGAGTGAAGCATGAATTCTGCTAGTTTTGAGATTCTTGCTTATCTCCACACCCAGAGGTGGGAAGGACAATCCCCAAAGATTTTTGCTATATTACAAATATTCCTAAAAGCAACTTTTAGAGGGGGTTGCAAAGTACAGGTAGTCCTCGAGTTATGACCACAATTGACCCCAAAATTTATGTTGTTAAGTGAGACATTGGTTAAGTGAATTCCCCCCCACGTCCCCTTTTACGACCTTTCTTGCCACCGTTGTTAAGTGAATCCCATTCGATAAGTTAATCACCTGGTTGTTAAGTGAATCTGGCTTTGACTTTTGCTTGTCAGAAGGTCACAAAAGGGGATCATATGACCTCAGAACACTGCAACCGTCATAAGTATGAACCAGTTGCCAAGAGTCCAAATTTTGATCACATGGCCATGGGGAGGCTACAAAGATTGTAACTGGGAAAAACGGTCGTAAGGTCCCTTTTTTCATTGCTGTTGTTAACTTTGAATGGTCACTACCAACAGCTACCTTGGATTTTTAAAAGGCAACAGTTTATTTGCACGCTAGTTATTTACAGTATCTTACACAACTTCTCCCTGATTAATTTCTCCTCTCTGCAAAACAGGACAAAGAAGTCTTTCTGAGGCAGCAAAGAATTTCATGCAAGGGGAATATAGTTAGTCCTCAACTTACAAATATTTGTTAAACGACCATTCAAAGTTGTAACACGGCTGAAAACACGACTTACAACCAGTCCTCAGACTTAACGACCACTGCAGCATCCTTATGGTCATGTGATCATAATTTCATACTTATGACAATTGCAAAGTCCCGGGGTTATGTGATCCACCATTTTGTGTCCTTCCCAGTTGCCTTCCAACAAGTCAGTGTGGGGTGGGTGGGAGCTGGATTCATTTAATGACTATGACTCATTTAACAACTACAGTGATTCACTTCTCCAGTGATTCACTTAACAACCAAAGGTCATAACATTAGGCGCAATTCGCTTAACAACTGCCTTGCCTAGTGGCAGGAATTCTGGTCTCAATTATCCTTGCAACTGGAGGGTTACCTGTACTTTTAATCACAATTTTACGGTGTCCTCTACTAGTCAGAATCGGAATATCAGAGTTGGGAGGGACCTTAGAGGTCTTCTAGTCTAACCCCCTGCATAAGTAGGATCTCCTCAATCTCCTATACCATTTCAGACAAATGGATGTCCAATCTCTTCTCAAAACTTCCAGTGTTGTGATCACCCACAACTTCTGGAGACGAGCCGTTCCACTGATGAACAGAGGGATACAATCAAGATCAAGTGGGTTACTAATACCACTCTATAAATGAAGTCTTAGTAAGGCCACACCTAGAGTACTGCAGCCAGTTTTGGTCACCATATTATAAAAAGAGATGTTGAGACTCTAGAAAAAGTACATAGAAGAGCAACCAGGATGATTAGGGGACTGGAGACTAAAACATATGAAGAACGGTTGCAGGAACTGGGCCTGGCTAGTCTAGTGAAGAGAAGGACCAGGGGAGACAGGATAGCAGTCTTTCAATATTTGAGGGGCTGGAAATAATAAATAGTTAATAAAATTAACCTGGAAATAAGGAGGAATTTTCTGACAGTGAGAACAACCAACCAATGGAACAGAAGTTGCCCTCAGAAGTTGTGGGAGCTTCATCCCTGGAAACTTTCAAGAAGAGATTGAACTCCCATCTGTCAGAAATGGTGTAGGGTCTCCTGCTTGGGCACGGGGTTGGACTAGATGACCTACAAGATCCCTTCCAACTCTGATGATCTGTTATATGGTTAATTATTCTTTTTTTAAATAAAAGTTGTTTTTTTTAATTGTACACATCTCTTCACGCGAGCAACATGATTCTGGATTATAATACTTGTACATAGTCATACTTTCATTTCCATTAATCTTATATAATGTCATCTTATATCATTATCCATTTCACTCATCTTTATGTGTGGATGAAATGATATTGATACTGAATTAATGAACTGAACTATGAAATGCAAATTTATTTAAAGGTTAATTATTCTATTTGGAAATTTCTCCTTAGTTCTAAAGGTTGCTTCTCTCCTGGATTAGTTTCCATCCGTAGCTTCTTGTCCTACTTTCAGGTGCCTTAGCTGATCCCCTCCTCTTCGTGGCAGCCCCTCAAATACTGAAACAATGCTATCATGTCATCGGTAGTCCTTCTTTTCATTAAAATAGACATGCCCAATTCTTGCAACTATTATTCATATGTTTTAGCCTTCAGTCCCTCTAATCCAGTGGCCCCCAACCTTTTGGGTATCAGGGAGCAATTCTGTGGATAGAGATTTTTCCGTGGATCTCAGGGGCCGTGGTTTCGTGTTCTGCCTGCATCCCGTGGATGGGCCTTCGCTTGTTTCCAGGGCCCAATGCTAGTCCACAGACTGGGGATTGGGACTCCTGCCCTAATCATCTTTGTTGCTCTTTTTTTTGGCTTCATTTGTAGTATTACAAGAATCTAATCCTTTTTGAAATAGATCATGTCGTGTTTGTGCCAAAGTATAAATCCAAAAGTCTGAGGAAAAACCTGCTGTGCTATGCAACTCAACTCAGAGATAAACACCAGAATTTTACCGATAAAGAACCAGAGAGCACTTCACCTTTGTTTATATCTGCCTGGGTGAAGCTTTTGGCTGGTCCCCCAGCAGAGATCTGCGTCAAAGAATCTCTTTTATGCAAGTGCAACGATCCATAGGTTGGGTCCTTCTTCATGATGTATCTGATAGACAGGTCATCTGAATCAGGATCTGTGGCTCTTAAATGCTGGTTTGTGATGACTGCCACAGACCCTAAAGTGGGGAAACAAACAGGCACAAACAACATTAAGTTTCTTGCTTAATTATTCTGGGAACGACAGCATATTGCTTATTCATCATCATCATCATCTTTTTTTAAAAATATATTTTTATTATATTTTCCACCAATACAAATCACATTCATATATGGGACAGCATTTTGACATCGACACATATAGTCATCTTATAAATCATCTTATACTTTATATACATCAACCAATAACTATTATCTCTATCTATAACTATTCTCTATCTTATATATTTATATATTTTGTATATCTACATCATCATTTTAACGACCCCATAATCCCTTGCGGGGTTGAATCTGGGCAGCTGAATGGAGCTAATAGAGTACTTACTGGCCGGATGCCCTCCCTGTCGCCAATACAGAGTTTTGTTCAGCAGATATTTTCTCATTGTGCCTAGAGAGAGAAATACCTGCCTCTACCTAGGATCGAACTCATAGCCTCCTGACTGTGAGGCAAGAACTCCACCTACACCACTCCTAGCATATTTGCTTATTGATTGATTGATTTCCTTCAAGTCAATGTTAATTCCTGGGGTTTGCCTGGATTAATCCCTGCAATTACCTTGACGGAATTTTAGAAGTAGGTGCCGTATGGTGGGACCAGACTTCACTATTTTTCCCCTCCCACAAAATCAGAGATAAATGAACCTCCATTCTAACACACATTTGGGAATATTTCTTCTCCAAACCAGAGAGATTGTCTGATGTGACCCCCATCTACCAACTTCTGGCCAGGTTTTTGTTCACCTCGGTTACAAGAAAGGCTTCCAATTCAATTTTTCTAGCCTGTTTTTATTTTTCTCACAGGGTCTCCTGAAACCGCAGCCTCACAAAGCTGTCTGTGTAACACTGATTTGGCACCGTGGTGAAGGGAGAATTCTTTCCGAAGCTTAGGGGAAAAAAAATAAATAGATCCCTCAACTTTGACAGTCTATGTAAAATGATGCTTTGCAAGCAACCAGACAGATTCCCCCACCCCCACTCAATACAACTCAAGAAATACGTGGACCGAATGCCTGTGGAGAAAGGAAAAAAACTAGAAATGTGTTATCTTCTTTCTGGAGAAGAAAAGGATAACATCTGATTTTTTAAGTCACATACATTGGATGCTCGAAGGCCCTGTGGCTGGGGAATTCTGGGAGTTGAAGTCTACGCATCTTAAAGTTGCCAAGACTAGGAAACATCGCTCCAGGAACAGCATTCAGTGACTAGCCGTTCTTAATTAGAAATAATGAATGTCAATTGGTTGAAGTTCTCTCCACTCAACTATCGGTTAATTTCAATTATTTATAGTCTCTGGGAGTTCCCAGCTGACTTCCGTAGAGCCAATACCACACTGTTCTGACCTAGGCTTCCCCCAAAAAGCACTAAGCAGACTTTCTGTCCCAGCAAGACCCCTTTTATTAAACAAAGGTGAATTTCTTGCATTCAAATTCAGCCAAAGGCCTGGCAAACAGTCTTTCAAGGGTGTAATTAGGAGCACAGACCTTATCAAGTTTGGAGAGCTGCCAACTAAATATTTTCAAACGCAGTGCTGACAAGGAAGGGCTCAGCACAGAGTCTCTGAGATGCACAGACAGATCTTCACACTGCTACAATGAACGAATTGTTTCCTGCAAAAGCCCCCTCCCCTTTTGCTCCTCTTTTAATCCCTATGGGAGGGGCCATTCACCATCCACCTGTGGCCTTACTCCCACGTTGACCCTTAGTTCGTACTTGTTCTTTTCTTTTGGCAGCTCTGCGCATGCGCAGGCTGAGAACTGGCTTCAGCTGCTCCCCTGCTGTCGTAATGACGAGGCAGTCGAGTTGTTTGATCATGAACAACTGAATCATGGTGATCTTTATTGGAGTCTAGTCTTGCATTTATACACATTTTTAAGTATCCTCCATCATTGGTTAACTTTGGTTACTGCTTAACTTTCCTTACTGTTTAGCATAGTAATCCATACAATTAATTATCTCTAGTTAAAGTCTAGCATATGTTTACTTCCTCTCTCTAACCTTCCTTTAGATTAGTGACTTTGTTTACCTGAGTTGTATTTGCTTGGAAACATTCTTTATCTGAGGTTTGCCATCCGAGATTGGAACATTCCTGCAATTACAACTCTACAGCCTGCCTCACTGCTGTCTGACTCCGAAGGCAGCTGATGACTGCCAGACTGTCCTGGCCCCATCTCTGCCTCTGACACAGGGCCCTCATCTGAGTCTTCCTCAGCCTCCAGGACTGGCTCATGTTCCTCCCCAACCTCCTCACTGTCCAACTCTGCTACCAGCTCCGCTAGCAGCTGGCAGGCCACAACACACACTGCATGCACCTGAGATCTCCAAATGGTGGGGACAATTTAGAACAACACGGGGGGGGGGGGCTTCCAAGTCTGTTGACCAAGAAATATAAAAGCTGAAGGTCTGGCAGGAATCTTCACGAAATTTAGCTACTTGGGAATTTGAATAAGGGGACTTCAGAAAATCATATTCAGAATTGATTTTTTTTTCTTACCAGCGGGAAGTTGTAGGCCTTTGTTCGTGACCAATCTGGGAAGGTCCATCCTTGGTGAGGCTACCACAAACTCCACTTTCCCTGTCTCAATGTGGAGGCCGTCTGAGAGTGAAAATTGGAACTCGTCACTCTGGGCTACCAAACTGTTCAATTTATAAACGATCAGTTCCTCCAGGACATCCTGGAAGGTGAAAGTGGATCCCTCAGCGAGAGCTTGTCCATTTTCCAGAGAATGCAGAGATTCTCTTCTGTACAGGTATCCTGAGAGTAGGTCGAGAATTATGAGTTAGTTCCTCACAGATAGTTTTCTCTCTATTGCATTAATATCTTAATTCTACTCCTAACTTACTACTTCTTCATACTATGAGTGTTTAGAACCCTTTACCACAGAATAAGAACAGTGGCAATATGAGAATACACACCTACAGCTAGTCCTCCACATACAACAGTTCGTTTAGTGACTATTCAAAATTACAACTGCACTGAAAAAAGTGACTTATGAGCGTTTTTCACACTTACGACCGTGGTAGCATCTCCCTGTGGTCATGTGATCAAAATTCAGATGCTTGACAACTTGCTCATATTTATGAAGGTTGCAGTGTCCCTAGATCATTGATCACCTTTTGTGATCTTCTGACAATCAGAGTCAATGGGGAAGCCAGTTTAAACCATGCATGAGCTCTGGTGATGCAGTGGTTAGAATTCAGTACTGCAGGTTACTTCTGCTGCCTGCAGCTCGGCAGTTCGAATCTCACCAGGCTCCAGGTTGACTCAGCCTTCCCTCCTTCCCAAGTGGGTAAAATGAGGACCCAGATTGTTGGGAGCAAGAGGCTGACTCAGGAAACCGCCTAGAGAGGGCTGTAAAGCACTGTGAAGCGGTATATAAGTCTAAGTGCTATTATTATTATTAAGTTAACAACTATAGTGAGACACTTAACAACTGTGGCAAGAAAGGTCGTAAAATGAGGCAAAACTCACTGAACAAATGTCTCACTTAGTAACATAAAGTTTTGACTCAATTGTGGCCATAAGTCAAGAACTGCTTGGATCTCTTGCTGTAATCCATACTGCATAAAGAAACCACAACTAGGAGATTTCTATATAAATCTAATTGCTAATGCTATTTCTTCAGCTTTACTACAATAATATGTCTCACCATGAACGGGTGCCTTGGTTATCGTGAAAACCAGAAGGTCATTCGAAGTGTCCAAGTCCCTTAGCCTCAAGGAGGAATTCCTAATCACCACTCCTGTGTTTTCACGCACGCTGACAGGGCTCACCTTTACCTCAGGCGGTTCATCATTCAGGCGCTACAAGAACAGAAGGAAAATCACGGGGAGAAAAATTAAGTTCAACAACTGGTTCTTGAAACAGAAGAGGAAAGGCCACGAGAAGCTATGAAATCTAGAAATAAGATTATGGAAATATAAGAGTCCTATGGCTTTAGAGCAGCATTCGTAATAATTTTGAATACATTTTGAAAGGAAATCTAACTGAAAACATTTCAAGCATCAGGGCATTTCGTGAAAGAAACCAGAAACCTGAATTTGTATTTTCCTGGTACATGTTGTGTATTTGTATTAATTGGGTGTAGAAACTGCAGCTACTAGTGGTTAATGTGTTTGTGTATGGTGTGCATATATAGATGCATGTGCATACACATATGCAGAGAGAGATAGAGAGACACAGATAGAGAAAGACAGAGAGAGAGAGAGAGAGAGAGACTTGATTCACATTGAGTAATCATGCGATTTGCTGAGTTTAACTTACTGACTTCTTGACAATTAATCAGCCTCAATAACAATTGTGGTTTGTGCTTTCAATCAGGTGTGAACTGAGTCATTTTTGCCTTTCTCAACAAAGTACAGTTTAGCAATTTGCTTGAACCCAGACACTATTTCTGCTATCAGAACAGTTTTACAAACGAAAACTACACAGTGAATTCAATTACCTTAATCGTAATGTTGACACTGCTGATTTCTGACTGGCTGAAGCCGTCACTGATATAAAAACTAAAGCTGTCCATCGATGGTTCAATACTTTCATGGACATTCTGAAAATAATAAATACGGTTCTCCAACACATCTTGAAGTGAGAAAGAAAAATCAGAACTTTCGGATTTTCCAAAACCAAGGCGTCTGCCTGCAAGGAAAAAGGTATTTACAAGGAAAGTGTGGTTTTTTAAAATAATTTTTTTTTTTGCTTTCTTTTTTAAAGCAGGGACAATAACTTGATTCTGTGTCAGGTTTTTGCATATATAGCAAATCAAAAATTTAATTATTTGTTGGAAATGTTTGCCGCCCATCTCGCTTTGATTTTATTAAGCTTATCATAATGTCAAACATAAATAAAAATAAAGATTATAGGAAAATGGGGAAGGGATAGAAATGGGAAAGAAAAGTGTAGAGGAAATGGGGGAAAAAGTATTGACTTCCAACCTTTTCCAGCACAGTAAAGTACAAAATAGAATTAAATCCTCAGCTTTTTATTTTACCAACTTAAGACGTACTACCCATTTCTGTAACAACAAACTAGATTAATCAACTAAACCCCAAAAATATTTTTTTCTGTCTTGAGCACAAAGTCCAGAAGTGGTTTCCAAGTAGAAAATAAAACTGAATATATTCCTTTCTCTAATTAAAAGAGTCAATTATGCCATCACTGCTAGTTCCATCACTTACTCCAATGATTCTTTCATTATGACGTACCTTTCCATTCCTGTCCGTACAGAATTCTCACTGCAGTCACGTTTTTGCATATGCACCGTAACAAACAGTATTTCACAACAAAATAATGGCTTTCCTCAACTTACAACCCTTTATTTAGTGACAGTTTGAACAACGGCATGGAAAAAAGTGACTTATGACCGGTTCTCATGCTTACAAAGTCCTACACTTAGGCAAGAAAAACCAAAAGTACACACATATAGACTGGGTGAAACCAGGCTCAATAGCAGTAACTGTGAAAAGGGATCTTGGAGTCTTAGTGGACAACCAGCTAAATAGGAGCTAACAGTGTGCAGTAGCAGCCAAAAAAGCTAAATGTCAACTAAAAAGACACTTCTTTGGTCTTTTTAGCTGCCAGAAAAAGAGAGCAGGGGAAGACAAGGCATTCCTTGTTTGCCTAGGTAATCACCCCAGCAGCCCAAAGGTGTCAGAGCGTAAGAAGGTTATTGGAGAGCATCATGGATGACTCTTGGAGATGGATGTGTCCCACTGGAGAAGTCACATCCAGGGGGTTAGGGTTAGGGAAGACCAGGGTCAAGGGGGAAATGTATGATGTCATTTAGTATTGGCTGCACCCAGCAAAATGCCAGCATGGCTACTTCTAATAAATCAATTTTCTTTTCTCTGAGATGTGGCTAGAGACTTTTGATTTGAATGGGGGTGGATTTGTTGGAACCCTGACACTAGTGCAATCCTACGTTGCATTAACAGAGGGATACAATCGAGATCAAGTGAGGTACTAATACCACTCTATAAAGCCTTAGTAAGAGCACACCTAGAGTACTGAATCCAGTTTTGGCCAACACACTATAAAAAAGATGCTGAGACTCTAGAAAGAGTGCAGAGAAGAGCAACCAGGATGATGAGGGGACTGGAGACTAAAACATACGAAGAACGGTTACAGGAACTGGGCTTGGCTAGTCTGAAGACAAGGACCAGGGGAGACATGATAACAGTGTTCTAATATCTGAGGGTCTGCCACAGAGCGGAGGGGGTCAAGCTATTTTCCAAGTTACCTGAAAGCCAGACAAAGAATAATGGATGGAAACTGAACAAGGAGAGATTCAACCTGGAAATAAGGAGAAACTTTCTGACAGTGAGAACAGTCAATCCATGCCACAGAAGTTGCCTTCGGAAGTTGTGGGAGCTTCATTAGTCGAGGCTTTGAAGAAGAGATTGGACTGCCCTCTGTCAGAAATGGTGTGGTGTCTCCTGCTTGGGCAGGGGGTTGGACGAGGCTTCCCTGAGGACGGACCACTGACCGCGATTGTCCGCAGCTTTGGTCCGTGCTTCTTTGTCCGAGAGCCCCGATCAGCAAGATCTGGGGCAGAAGCCGCCTCTTAACAGCTGCCTTGCTTTGCAATGGAAAAATCTGGAACTCCAGAATTTGGAAAATTAGTAGTCGTAAATCGAGGACTGTATGAAATCGCACGTTACCTGTCCAGGTGTTTTCAATGTACCCGTATTTTGGAAGACTTGTGATTTTTACAAGCAGGCCTTCTTCAGCAAGGCCACCTTCCAGGCCAAGGGTATGGTGAGGCTGCAGTGGTGTTCGTCCCCCTTCTTCTACCTGGACACAAAAAACATCATTCTGCTCTATCTGGAAATTTGATTTTGAGCATTACTTACAAAAAAAGGCTTCTATTTTACCCTCCACCTCTTAATATTTGTGATCTGAAATACTTCGTATGGGGTAATCCCCGTAATGTATAATAGCAATAGCACTTAGACTTATATACTGCTTTCCAGTGCTTTATCCTCAACTTACACCTTACATCGGTCACTAAATAAATTCCTTCAGTGACCGTTTGAACTTACAATGGCACTAAACAAAGAGACTTATGACTGTTTTTCATACTTATGACCAAGGATGGGCTGCTGTTGTGGCTCTGAGGTTTGAGCCTGATTTGTTAGAGGACAAAGACTTGGACAATGGGGAAGAGGAGGTTTTGGAAATGCCTTCCTCCCCAGGACCTTCCTCTTCGGCAATGCCTTCCTCCCTGATTGTGCCTCAGGTGTCGGCAGATAACCGGGAGGGAAGACCTGAGGCTAATCAGGAAAAGGAGGAGGGAATATCGGAGTCTCTGACTGAGAATCAAGCAGAGGAATGCTGGCTTGATGCGAGACAACGTTGCAGGCAAAAGTGTGAGCTGCAACGCAGGAGGAAGGGACGAATCAGAGACTGAGCTGAGGGACTGACACGCCCCACAGGGAATAAAAGTGGGTGTGTTCGCTCTGGGAACTTGTTCGGGACAACATGTGACTTATTCAGAGGAGCTCCGGAATATCCTGTGTGTGGTGACAGCTTGTGTGATTTATATTCCTGCTTTCTTGTCGGACTTGGCAGACAGCGCGTGTGAGACTGCCAAGAACTTTATCGGCTCAGGGAATTTAACTCTATAATTACTGGATTTGCTTGCTTGTTTGTATTCAGTTGGAAATTTGGACTTCTCACCTCTTTTGTACAGGTGAGACATAACAGGCTGCTATGGGTTCGCACATGTTCGGGCGATCCTCTTGTTAAGATCCTGCGCAGTTCAGCAAACCGATAAATCCCGTTCCTGGCTGGCCCCACCCACCCCATCTCTCCCTTCCTAGGACTCCTCACGTGGCCTGTTTTGGATGTGGGGTAAGTGCAGGGCCCGTGCGAAAGGTCGGGGAGGGTGAAAAATGAGCCTCCCGGAGGCTGGAAACAGGCCTGTTTCTGGCGTCTGGATGGCCTCCAGAGCCCACAGGAGGCTGTTTTCACCCTCAAGGAAAGCCTCCGGAGCCCAGAGAGGATAAAAGTACCCCCCCCCCATTGCCGGGGAGAGAACTGTTTGCTGAAATTTTTGAAGCCCACCCCGGCTTATGGGGTTGCAATATCCCCTTGGTCACATGATCAAAAATCAAATACTCCGCAACTGCCATGTATTAATGATGGTCGCGGTATCCCGGGGTCATGTGATCACCTTTTGAGACCTTCTGACAAGCAAAGTTTCCATGGGGAAGTCAGATTCATTGAACAACCGTGTCACTAACTTTAACGCCTGCAGTTCTTTCCTGATTTCTGTGGCAAGAAAGGTCGTAAAATGGGTCAAAACTCACTTAACGGCTCTCTCGCTTAACAAATGGAAATTCTGGGCTCAACTGTAGGTTGTAAGTCAAGGACTATACCTTCCACATAATTCAGCGTTGAATCTCACAGGGTTACTGACGTACCGTAATTCGGTCCGAAAAGGTAATAGCCGGAGGCACACTTTGGGCTGCTGTGACAGTAACGGTGAACATCTGGCTGTCAAGTTGGTTGTTGTCAGCGTCGAACACAGAGAAGTAGAAGACATCTGTGATTGGCTGATTGAGCACAGCTTCGAGCTCGGTGAAGTATCTGCAGGATTAAAAATGGAAGGCGCTGACCTGGGGCGGTAAGGTAGGGACACCAAAGCGTGCCACCGACAAACAATTTAATCTCCTCTAATTGCATTTTGTTTGCTTTGGGGAATAAGCTGCTTGCATTTTCATGTTACTGGGAGGGATGTTAATAGCTAGGAGGGGGAAAAATAGTTAACGAGGAAGACTGCATTTTATTTCTAACTTTTTAATCAATCCGGTGCCCTTTCAATCTGCCAGATGGAAGCTGTTGACGATGCAGGATGGGGAATGTTAATAGCAACACAACTGTGGGTGGGGGGAGCCACATTGAGAAAGGTGATGATTCATGGATTGACATGAAATTAAAAAATCGGTTGCAAGAGGAAAGAAATGTCACTGGGATGGATCCAGAGAAGCAGAGATGTGCAGGAAATGGGGGAAGTGTTTCAGAGGTGGCATTCAGTAGGTTCTGACCAGTTCTGGAGAACCAGTAGCGGACATTTTGAGTAGTTCGGAGAACCGGCAAATCCCATCTCTGACTGGCCCCACCAACTCCATCTATTCTCTGCCTCCCATTGAGTCCCAGCTGATTGGCCGGGTCTTCTTTGGTTGCCCTGCACAGGAGAGCGGAGCTGGAAAGCAGGTTAGTGGGGTGGGGAGGGAATGGGGACTTTGCAGTAACCTTCACTCAGGAGCGAGGAGGGAATGGGGATTTTGCAGTAACCTTCCCCTGCCACACCCTCCAAGCCACGCCCACAGAACTCGTAGTAAAATTTTTTGAATCCCATCACTGAAATGTTTCCTTCTGGGCTTAAAACAAAACCATAACAGAGATTCTCAGAGGTATATTCAACTGCAGGAAAAATGGATTCCTGGCCCACTTTTTATATCTATATCTATATCTATATCTATATCTATATCTATATCTATATCTATATCTATCTATCTATCTATCTATCTATCTATCTATCTATCTATCTATCTATCTATCTATCTCTATATCTATCTATCTATCTATCTATCTATCTATCTATCTATCTATCTATCTATCTATCTAT